GTGTTCGAATTTCAACGTTTAATACTCTTGTTATGTGTATTTTTGATCGTTTTCGGTCATTCGGGTTATCCTCGTTGACAGGTCGCCGTTTTTGGAGTGAGTACGAGTAACCTAAAAACGATAAGGTAATACATAAATAAATCTGATCAATACTGACTTGAAACATTGGAATTGTCAGTCAATAAAACCCAAGATGGACTACAAAAACAGATATATTAAAAAACAATGCGTTTTTTAGAAATCCTTATTTAAATACACTTGAAATATTGTTCAAAATGATTTCCTGATTCAGTATGCAGGGTAATCGACCTGTAGTTTGCCCACAATTTAGATCGGTATAAATCTTCATGATTGATGTGATTTTCAATTACAAGGGGTTCTTTTTACATAGACTCCTAATGATGGCCAAAAGAGCAAGGATTTTTTGAATTATTTTTTTTTCAATTTTTAGCTTGTAATAGTGATTGGAAACAACAGAATTAGTGAACTATCAATTCGACCAAGATGAACTACAAACGGAAAATGGCAAACGGCAATAGTTTCCATTGTGACACAGTAATAAAAAACTTAGCCATAAGTATGATAAGAAAATAATTGAAGAATATTATAGAAAATATTTTTTTTCTATAATATTCTTCAATTCCGTCTGTGGTGTGATGGACTTGTAGTTTAGCCATGATTAAATTCTGCGTGGCTCTTCAGTGTGTAATTTTCATATACTACGGGTTTCTTTTACGTTTATTCAGAAAGGTGGAAGAAGTAACCACTGAAATGAACAATACAGCGAGGATAAGCGGACCAGGAATCTCCAATAGAGTTACTTCACCCCCGAAATCCTCATTGAGAAATCCTACGATGTATAGTCGTATATTTTCACTGCTTCAAATTCTGAAAGTTTCAAATAGTTATTTTGGTATTTGCTGAAATTAGTACAAACAGGCATTGTGGAATAATCTGCGTGCCTTTACAAAGTTCACGTTTAACATGGTAACCCAGACGGTTTCCATGTATTTTTTTTCCATTTCCTCTGTTGCTTCAGCCAACAAGTGATGGTGTGGTGTGAAACCAAAGAATGATTCCATTCCTTCAAGCATCTTATTTAACGTTTCCAAATGTTTCACGTTTTCGGGACATCCATGAATATTTGTTTGACGTTTACCATCGGTATGTGTACCATACCAATTTTGTCCTGTAGTAAGATAGCTGATTATGATTAAAACTGCACACCTTTTATGTACCAAATTCTATTTTGTGCCGCATCCTATGAAGATTTTTAAAAATTTGTCACCAAAAAAATCTATTGAGAAAATATAAGATTATTTTTATTATTACTGCATGAATTAAACTTACCGTAAAAATTGATCAATATCGCTACATTTTTAACATTTTATGCCTTCTTTTCTTCAAATCCATCTTCCTTCCTGTTAATCTCGTGTAAGTCTTGTTTAGAACATTCATAGATGATTGAAATGTTTGTTTTCTGTCTGTTGATCTGATTGACAGCTACCACATGCCGTTTAGATTTGAAAGCTGCATAATCTCCGCCGATACACTTTTAGAAACGTCCGGTCAGATTTAATAAAATATTATCTTGAACTATTAAAATGAAACGTTACTATTACAATAAAGTACAATAATACACCACTTACACCTAATGTAGCTCAAGGTTACATCCTAAGCCATTATCGTTTATTAATGGCTTTAAACCATAAAAACCAACCAAATTTGTTCTAATGCTATTTAGTTGGAATTCATCGCATTGAAACATTACATCTACTAAAGCCCAAATTTACTTTCACACGGTGTACTCTTAGGGTACGCATTAAGCCCTGTATTATTTATTAACTTTTTACTTCATAAGAAACTTCCTATAGAGTTTGGTTACAACCTGTCTTCTCAAGCATAAATCAATTAAATCTGATGTCCCTCATGTTTTCATATAAAGCCTCCTTTTATTTATTACATATATTCATCCCCTGTAGCACATCCGAATAAAAAACAAATAAAACAAAATAAACTCAAATTTACTTTCGGCGAACAAAAGAAGCGGAACAGGAGATGCAACAATTGACCTGCCAGCCCGAGTATCATCTTTATGTCAGGGGTCATGCCTTCTCGCTCCCTGTACGGGGCCAAGGCGTGGAACTCTTCGATCAGATGTGACACACTAAGCACGTTTCTCTACGAAACACCAAAACCAGGTGTCAGAAGCGTATGGCTTATGGCTCAATCGAATTAGCAAGATTCTATCATTTCGTTTCATACGCGGGACCACCGTTTAGTCGAGCTCTTGGTTCTCAAGAAGAGGAGGAGTTGAAATCATTGTTATCTATTCGAGCATCAATCCATTTTATTTCGTGTAGCTCAAGGTTCCATCCTAAGCCTCGTTTCATTTATTAAATGTTTTCACTCCCTGCCAGCTCGTTATAGTACCTAATTAGACTTCGTCACATTTAGACAAAAATACATCCACAAAAACTCAAATTTAATTAAGGTGGGAATACGTCTAGGTAACATGTTGAGCCTTGTATTATTTATTAACTATTTTATAGAACTATAACTATACAACTATAACTTACAAATAACTACATCTACTCGGTCAAGATCATCTAATAATAACGTCAGGAGCTTCGTTATCAACTCGAGCATGAAATCTGGTGTGGCTCAAGGCTCCATACTAAGCATCATTTTATTTTGTCGAGATTTTTGACGAAAATGGATACACAAAAGGTAAATTTTAAGCTGGTGTATTGTTAAGGAATGTTATTTATCTATTTCTCTACATATATATAATAATAATATTATTGATGGAAAGGCTTAGACCAACGTCTAGCAACAAACCTAAGAATTGCCTCCTCCCTGAAAAGTTCCGGAGGAAGGACACTGGCATCATTGCAGAGACTATATAAAGGGCTTGTTCTAAACGCCCCTGTTGCAATCCTGATACCTTGGTAATAAATTCTATCTAGAGGTTTTAAAGATGATATTCGCGCTGAAGAGTAACCTGCGGCTCCGTAACGAAACTTTGCTCCTAAGTACATGCTGAATATTCTTAAAATAATGTCTCTATTCGCTCCCCAATTGTAATTAGCGAGGAATCTCATCAAGCCTAGTATTTTCCTTCCTGAATTAGACAATTGGGCTATTTGAGGCTTCCATCGAAAGGCTTTGTCGAAAGAAACGCCTAAATATTTGACAACGTCGACTTCCTTTATTTCAACGCCAGAAAGGAATAGCCGAGGTGTTTCATGATGTCTTAGTCTACAAAAGTGTACAAATACTGTTTTGGACAAAGAGAATTTGAAACCCACATCGTCTGCTTTTCGTGACAATGTGTCAATGGCGTTTTGTAAAGTCCTTCCCACACTTTGGAGATTTTTTCCAGACAAGTAAAAGCAAAGATCATCGACATACAAAGGCCGGACTATACGATCATGTATATTATCAGCCAGACCGTTTACCGCAATGGCAAATAAAGTGACACTCAGAACCGAACCCTGAGGAATCCCGTTTTCTGAATGAACGTACTAGATAAGGCGGTACCTAATCTCACCCGGAATCTCCTCATTTCGAGGAAGCTTTTTAAAAATTTAGCTAAGTTCCCGCTTAAAACCCAATCATAGAGTTTCTTAAGAATACCAAATCTCCAGGTCGTATGGTATGCTTTTTCCAGGTCGAAGAAGACAGCTAAAGCATGCTCTCTCTCCAAGAAAGTGTTCTGAATAGCACTTTCAACGAGCGCTACATGATCTTCAGAGCAAAAGTGCTTTCTAAACCCAGCCTGGTATTGACTGTACAGACCTTTATTATGGTTAATTATGGCTTCCAATGTCTTGCTGAGACATGATGATAGAGAAATAGATCTGTAATTTTCTGGGAGGCTAGGATCTTTTCCCGGCTTAGCAATGGGTATCACGACCGACTCCCTCAGTTTTCATGATAATATCCCGCACCCCATATTTCGTTAAATAACACCAAAAGCTTTACTTTTCCTTCTGGAGATAGATTTTTAATCATGGAGTGGATTTCATCACTTCCTGGAGAAGATTCTTTCACCGAATTCAGGACAAGATCCAGTTCAGCCAGAGTGAGGGGAGTGTTCCAAACTGCTTTTTCATCAGTTGCAAAATTTAAATCGTTTCTTTCTTCCTCCTCCTTTATGTGCCTGAAACGCTCCGAATACCAGCTGGAATTGAAAAATAGATATATATATGTAATTAATCTATCTTACATGTTAACAATTTTCTCCTCAATATCTAAAATTTCACACTGGACTCAACTTTACTCAAGTAAGTTTTAAATTAGCAAAACGGATATAAAATTCAATGATGTTACAGGTTTGTACAAAACAATCAACATTAAAAACATACGACTAAACGGTTAAATTTCATCCTAGACATTAGCTGACATACAATAAAAAGTCATTTTATGTAGTACGTAGATTTTTCTATTGCAGTACGAAGCTAATCAAATATTTCTTTTGCAAAAAATCCCTTCTTGTTGGAATTATGTCATAAAGTGAAATAAGTTACATCCAGTCTTAACATGGCTAATGAAAATCATAGGCAAACTGTTGTTTTTCAGTTGAACTACTGTGCGACTTAAGTTTTCTTATCAGAGCTGAAATTGAAGTAGAAGTTCTCCGTGTTTATTTTCCTCTTCGTGCCAGCTCTTATTGCTACGGTCCTATTTTATACTTTTTTCCCTTCGATTTTTCCGAAGGCTTAACAAGCGGATGGAAAAACCTTTTAGAGAGGGCGTAGAACTGTTTTATCTGCTAAGCCGGATGAGATAAAAAAACGTATAAACACATCCAGTTATTAATTCAATAAAATAAATAAATAAGCCAGTGGTTAACGCACTTTAAACCCGTTCAAAAGTCTCTCTGTTCGAAACGAAGTGAAAATATAAAACAATTAACCTCAGAGCTTTTATCAAATTTTAAATTCAAATCAGAGTAAAAACAAATCAAACTCCGAGAATGGAAATTTAATTCGACTTTATTTTCTATTTTAAAATTACGCCTTTATGGGCTTACAAGAGAAACAAAAATATAGACAAAAAAATCTATTCTGTTGGATCCTTTATAGGCACCTCTTCTCTCATTGAAGCCTGTTTGTCGAGGTCAAAAAATTCGATCAACTGTTGCTCGAGGTACTTTTCGATCTCTTCAAGCGGTACTCCCATATCCTCCAGGTCCTTCTTTGTGTCCAGGAACGGTTTTGACATCATCAACGGCTTGAGTACCTTCTTGGCTTCTCCGCTTAGGACGCTGTCCATGAAGACCTGAAATAATAAACAAAATGTGTTATGTCCATTTGAAAAAATCCATATATTTACGATTCCTGTTGCTCATGAGTGTGAATTTTCATGTGAGATATAACTTTCGTCGTTAGAATTCATTGTTAAGGTTAAAGTTAAAGGGATTATTCAAGGGAGATTGTGAACTTGGCCTTTTTATTCCATTGGGCTATTGCAATAAGAATACTTTCCGAATTTAATTTGAGATCCTTTTTGGTATCGACCTCAATGTGAGCCACTAGATAGTCAACAAAAGGAGCAACTTCAATTTTTAATTTTTTGAGGAGGACCCAAGATAGATCCTTGAGGACAGCCCTTTGTTATTTTTCGCCAAGAAATGATGTACTTTGTTACGATTGCCGCTTCCCTGCCATTCGAATTCGTAATCGTTCTGAAGTTGTTTCGAGGGCAGTCTTTCTTTTTAAGTTCAAGTAACATCCATTCTACGGAATCAAAAGCTCCCTGCATCTCAAAAAATATGGCTAAGACGTACTTTTTTTGTTTTTTTCTACAGAGTCGTAAATATGGTGGTAGACAGGGTTTCCTTTTTAAGTGGCCCGGCTGAATTTCTCTTGAATCAAAAAAAAAGAACATGTTTAATATTTTTAGTCTAGTTTAAAATTTTTACCTTTTTTAGGGGAAAAATTATACAGGGTACCTCAGGCCCAGCTCAACTTCAAAATTTTAAATACTGGCCTTACATCCTGACAAATTATTTTGGCCATCGCCAACACAATGATACAATCGGATTTTAAAATGGTCAAACAGTTATGGCAAAAAGTTTGAAAAAACGCCTTTCGCTTGTTCGTTATTAATTTTAACCATTTGCTTCTTCGCTAAAGTAAACATTAATTGGTTTTAATGTTTACATTCGGTCATTGTTTGTCAAACTAATATTATGAGAGCAAATTTTAATCCCTGGAAGTAAATAAATTTTACAATACTATCTACTCGTTAGATCCAATATTCCATCCAAAATGAACCGAAAAGCACATTTTTCCGATCAACAGCGAGTTGATATGTACATCTGCTTTTTTGATAGTGGTGGTATTGCACAGTCATTTATATTCCCATAAATTTCCTGATCGCCCCAGAGTAAACTAAAAAACGTTTATTCGTGTTGATCGCAATATGAGGAGATAAAGGATCAGTTGCTGTTCCATCACCAAGAAACCGGCAGCGTAATTTCGACGAGGAGATGAATATTTAACTGTATGTTCGCGAAAATCCTAATTCCTCTCTCCGAAATGTTGGAAGGGTTTTATGTTTTTCAAAAAATAAAATTAAATATATATTCCAGACTTACAATTTTAAGCAGTATCGGTCTCATCTTGTCCAGGAACTTGGGACTCTGATTATGACAGGCCATCTTCTAAGGTTCCTTACACAAACGTCGATTTGGGAGGATGAAGAAAACGTTCTTCCATACATCCTATGGACTGGTGAATCCAAGTTCACCTCTAATGGCATACTAAACCGTTGGACTTTTCGAACGTGGGCAAAGGAAATCCGAGAATTTCGTACTCTTCTAGTCATCAGGTAGTACGCAGGATCAACGTTTGGTGCGGACTTATCGGAAATAAATTAATTGGAAATAATTTAAATGGTGCTCAATTCCAAAAATTTTTGAGGGAGGTATTACCAACATTATTAGATGATGTTCCTCTGCAACGACGACAAAGAATGCATCCAGCTTGATGCATCCATCACCTCACACCATTGCAGATGAGTCGTTATTTGAACCGTCACTTCCAGGATAGGTGGATAGGACACCATGGCGTGATCTGTTGGTCTGCTCCGTCACCCGATTTAACTCCACTTGACTTTTTACTGGAGAGCCATTAAAAAAACAGCGATTATGCTGTTGGTTTTCTGCGCTGTTCTTATTACAATGTGCTGAAGGGGGATTAATCCCCAGTACTTTTTCAGTAATTGTAGGACATGTTCTCATTGCTCCCGTTATGCAGATGCAAGTCTCTGTATTTTTGTGAATTCTTTCCTTTTGGTTATTTGTTCTGCTTTATCAGCCCAGACTATACAGAGCTATGGTAGAAAGGACAGCGCAGAAAACCATCATCTAATTATCAAAGAGAAACCTCCAACAGGAATAAAACTGAAAAGGAGAATAGCAACAAACCATGGAAAAACCATCCGTCACTCATGGCTCCAAGAGACGACATGATCGGGATATTTGAATTTAACCAAAAATTCTACCAAATTATCTGGGTACCAAAAAAGAATGGGAAAGAAAGGGAAATAACTCCTTTAAAAATGGCACCATCCTCTGGTACACAGATGGATCTAAAACACAAGAAGGTACGGGGGCAGGAGTATTTGGACCTGGAACCAAATACTCAGAACCCATGGGAAAACACACCAGTATCTTCCAAGCTGAGATTCATGCAATTGAAAGATGTACTCAATTCAATCTAAGTAAAGGGTACAAAAACAAGAATATAGCTATCATGTCAGATAGTCAAGCAACCGTCAAAGCACTAAGCTATCATTAGGTCAAGGATGGTGCTGAACTGCAAAACTAAATTAAACATATTAGGTATGCAGAATAGTCAGCCTTTGCTGGGTCCCAGGACACATGGGAGTAGAAGGCAACGAGAAAGCGGACACCCTTGCAAGGAAAGGGGCTGCCACACCGCTGATAGACCCGAACCCTTCTGTGGCATACGAATCCACACTATTAACGAATATCTCAGACAGAAGGACAAAAAGAAAATGAGGGAACTTTGGAATTCACTCATTGGACATAGAAATCCAAGAATCTTCTAACCAATTTTGGTAAGAAAGAAATCACAGAATGTGTCAAAGGAAACAGGAACAGACTGCGAATTCTAACAGGATTCCTAACATACTGCAGATTAAACGGACACTTAAAGAAAATTGGAACAATCCAAGATGGCACATGCAGATTCTGCAAGGAGGCAGAAGAGACACCAACACATTTACTAACAAACTACGGAGCTACATTAGCCCGCAGGAGGAAATGTTTTGGGATGTATAAGGTGACCATAGAAGACTTCAACCACTGAAACCGGGCTTATTAATCAAATTTCTTGATGGTATAGGACTCACCGATGTGTTTTAGGCAGAGAATGGGGGATACAATAGCTCTTAAAGGGCGCAGTATACTATACCCTGAAAAATTACATCTGCATCTACATCTTATGCTGTTATGTTAACCCAGTTGAACTTCATTTGAAGAACTGCGGCAAAGGATAGAAAATGCTTGTCAATCCATCTCCCCTGACCCTATCACCATCAGCACCAGTGAAGAGTATTTAAAAATAGCAAATCTTTGCATCTTTATGCAAGGCAGGCTGTTCGGACAAGTAATATGGTTAATAAATATCAACTAAGCGGCTGGGGTTTTTTTTTTTTTTTAATTTTGCCATAACTTTGTCATTTTTTGACTAATTTAAAATCCAATTGCACCTTGTTTTCAGCGTAAAAGATCCTTCAAAATGATGCGTCAAGATGTGTACGAACGAATTTGAAATTTTGAAGAAGGCCTGAGGTACCCAATATAATTTTTCTCCCAAAAAAGGTAAACATTCGAAACTAGACCTCAAAATATTAAACACTTTTTTTATGGCTCATTGGTTCAAAAGAAATTCAGCCCGGCCATCTAAAAAGGACACCCTGAACAATACACTTTTGTCGTACATATTTTTATCCTGACCTAGGTTTCCTTTAATAACTTTAATCAATTATTAAATTCACTAGGTTTCGTGGTTCGCTTGACCAATTAATATCTTTCAATTATTTAAGGTTTTTAGCTGAGATAAAAAATCAGTGTCATGAGCGGGATTCGAACCCACGATGCTAGATACGCCGCTACTCTACCACTTGATCTATCGTGACTTCGATCCACTCGGACACTAACTTCCCATCTCAACCCCACCTTTTGAATTTGCTCTCCTTTTTGCCATTTTTCAAATGTCGTGAAATCTTTAATATTTAATAGGTTAAAATGAAGTATACCTTCACTAAAGCTCTCCGTGGCCATTTCATTTGTCGCCGAGAATCAAATAGATTACACGCGATTTGAAAAATAGCAAAAAGGAGGGAAAATTCAAAAGGTGCGGTTGAGATGGGAAGTTAGTGTCCGAGTGGATCGGATAAAAGTCACTATAGCTCAAGCGGTAGAGCAGCGGCGTATCTAGCCGAAGATCGTGTGTTCGATCCCGCTCGTGGCACTGACTTTTTATCTCAACTAAAAACCTTAATTAATTTATCAATTATATCGATCAGGCCTCAAGTCTCACTGGAATAGTCTCGTTTGGCGAAAATTTTATGACGATGTTAGACGACTAGTATGTGGGGGTTTATGTTCAGCAAGCACTGTAGTCTTCTGGCTTGTTGTACTTTCTTAGTTCCTTAGTCTTTCGGTTCGATCCTTCTTCTAAGGAGTACTTGCTCATTGACTGTCTAACTACAGTTCCTTTCCCTGTTTTCTTTGTATACCAGATTATGTCTACATTGTACGGTTGCTTCACATTCGAAGATAATATGGGTGGCTGTTTCTTTCTCCTCATTGCATACAATCATCATTGAATACGTCCATTTTGTGTAGGTGTTTTTTCAGATACCAGTGGCCGGTAGTTAGTCCTACCATTCGTCGAGTTTACCCCTCTCTAATTGTAGCAATGAGTTCGTTTTGACAAAATTTGATTTATCCTGTTTTGCCCAGAAGGTGCAAAATTTGTCATTTCTTTCATTTCTTAAAATATTTTCTTTGATTTCCAACAACGTAGCAAAGTTTTACACATATTTTGTTTATTGAGTTTAATTGTCAAACAATCATATAAAAATATGCTTTTGAATTATGACCATCAGATACGATAGCTCGCGGCGCTTTTTCGTTTCGTGTTTTTGAACTATGTTTGCAGTTTATAATCGCATAAATATTATCTAAATGCAATAAAGAAAAATCAAATATTTTATTTTTGATTTTTAAATAAAAAATACATATTAGTAAGTTAAAAGTACATACATAATTTATAAATGTACAAAGAGTTTTATTGTTATTTGTATGAAAGGTTTTATTTAAAGCGTTTAGAAAAGAGATATGCGGCCAGTAATAAAACGCAAACGCCTGGCTTTTCATTTGATACATTTTTACGTTTATCCGAAGTGGTTTCATGTCTGGGTAAAAGTTTCGGAATTGGTCGGATCACAAAGGGCCGGTAGAAAATGAGCGGGATTCCTGGCAATTGTGCTGCCGTCCGAGTCGGCCATCGAATCCTGCCCTCTCCAAATATAGACACAGAAATTCACTTCGGAATCTGTCAGGATCAATGAGCGGGTTGAATCGCGTTGTAGGGGAAAATTGTTACCGATCCGATACGACAAACTCCAGCACGCCCTTGCTATAAATAAACAGAATGGAGTTGGTGGATTGATGCGTTGGGCTAATTTTAAACTAGGGCGGATCGATTTTTAAACGTTACAGTCTGTTTGGATCGAAATTTGGACAATGGGCGACCTTGCAACCCGATTTACTTTCTTCTATTAACGGTACTTCAGAGTTAAGAAGTTATTTTAAAATTCCGTCGATATATCGTCTTAAGTACATAATCAAACTTCTTCCTGTGAGAAAAGCACCCAGCACCTCATTACTTCATCAATTTTCTAATATCTTCTTCAGATGACTTATTTTCTTTCCTTGTTTAAATTCTGGGCTGATTGGGTGTATCAATTATAATCAATATAAGTTTATATAGCATTTTTCAATCAAATGAAACTTTTTTTCAACCAAATGAAACTTTTTTCAATCAAATGAAACCTTTTTTCAAGCAAATGAAACCTAAAGCCTAATGATAATAATTATGTAGAAGAATAAATAAATGACATTATAGTATTAACAATAATTTTTATGATGATTGAATATTATATTACAATAATTGAATCGTAAGGCTTAGGTACAAAAACGTTTCTTGTGAAGATCCGTATTCATCAAACTTTACATCCACCCCGTCGAAGTTTAATTAAGTAGGATAGAAAAGTGTTTTTGAGCGAGCAACAACTTTCTGTGATAGAAATTATGAATGATAGAGTGGGTGTGGAGTTCAATTCTTTTTAAAAAGATGGTTTCTACTCACAGTAAGTTGTTTCACAACAATTCGGATTTCGAGCCCTTTAGCTCATCACGTTTCTTGAAAAATACGTAAAATATCGTGCCTACGAGCCTTTTACATCGAAAAAGACAATAAAAAAAATTTCCGATTTTTTAATGTTTTTTGCGTTTTTCTTGAAAAAAAAGTGCCTAAAAGCCTTTTACATCGAAAAAGACAATAAAAAAAATTTCCGATTTTTTAATGTTTTTTGCGTTTTTCTTGAAAAAAAAACGTGCCTAAAAGCCTTTTACATCGAAAAAGACAATAAACAAAATTTCCGATTTTTTAATGTTTTTTGCGTTTTTCTTGAAAAAAAACGTGCCTAAAAGCCTTTTACATCGAAAAAGACAATAAAAAAAATTTCCGATTTTTTAATGTTTTTTGCGTTTTTCTTGAAAACTACGTAAAAATACGTGCCTACGAACCTTTTACATTGAAAAAGACAATAAAAAAATTTTTCGATTTTTAGGGGTTTTTTCATCTATCGAAACATATTACAGTCATTTTAATAGTAAATTACAAAATCACATTAACACACAAATACGATTACTCAATTCTTCACAATTACCATGTGATAGACTGAAAAGAATATGGATAAGAGACCTCTTAAATGATTAATATCAAATATAATGGGCAGCTTTCTGTATAACTTCACTAGTTTTCGTGACCTTGATCAATTAATATCTGTCAATGAATTAAGGTTTTTAGTTGAGATAAAAAAGTCAATGTCACGAGCGGGATTCGAACCCACGATCTTCGGCTAGATACGCCGCTGCTCTACCTCTTGAGCTATCGAGACCTTGATCCACTCGGACACCAACTTCCCATCTTAACCCCATCTTTCTAATTTTCCCTCCTTTTTGCCATTTTTCAAATGTCGTGTAATCTATTTGATTCTCGGCGACAAATGAAATGGCCACGGAGAGCTTTAGTGAAGGTATACTTCATTTTTACTTATTAAATTCACTAGTTTTAGTGGTCCGTTTGACCAATTAATATCTTTCAATTAATTAAGGTTTTTAGTTGATATAAAAAAGTCAGTGTCACGAGCGGGATTCGAGGGTTGAGGTCACGATAGCTCAAGTGGTAGAGCAGCGGTGTATCTAGCCGAAGATCGTGGGTTCGAATCCCGCTCGTGACACTGACTTTTTTATCTTAACTAAAAACCTTAATTAATTTCTGTATAACGCCCGTAATGCCACAAACATAAATTGAAATATAATCTGCTGATTATTTATAATACATGTACAGACGTAGATCAAAATAAATTAAGTAAAAAAACCCTATAATATCAAATAGTTTATAAATGTTTTACTTATTTGTGAGAAAATCCTGGAGAAACGTTTACTCAATCGCATTCGACTTGGATTGATCTAAGTATCAAGTCATCAGCTTGTTTTTGGCATTCGACACTCCTCAACGCTGTGACATCGGGTTTGACATCCTGCATATCTTAATTCCTGAAATCCTACTTGTAAGAACTTAGGTCCTATTATTCTACGTCTATATCTGCTCTCTTGGGCAAAACTGTATAAGTCCAAAAATACAACTTTACAGGGTTATAAAGTTTATGCCTTTGGTGCAATTTAAATTTCTGTATTAAATTTTTTATTGTGCTCACATTTCATACAATTCAACGTTGTATCTTTAATTTTTGGTATTTTTTACGTATCGAACATGTAACTTTTATCTGAACTTTTAAGCACTTACCGATTATAGTACCCACTTATGCAAATATATTTTCTAATCCCCATTTTTTCTTTTTTCATGTTAAAGTTAACATTCTTGTAATTCTTGTACAAAACTAACCCTCGTTCACATATAAAACTAACTTTGGTCCTGAATCGGTTGGGTTCTCTTCCCTGGTTTTTATCTTCTCTCTCCAGGGTTACAAGAATTTTTTCAAATCTGAGTGAAGGGGGATTTGGTATTGAAAAAAGGAGTAACAGTTTGTATGACCTCCTGCTATCATAGACCACAGATGGATTGGTGTTCTTTCTTCTGGTGTTCTTCAATGTCGCGCTGAAGTGTACAATTTCGTAAAACTGGTTGTTTGATCTCGTTCGATATGGTTTCAATTTTTCGTTTTCGTTAGTAGACCACCCGCAAAATTTGATAATAGATCGTAGAAGGATTCATGCCGTTGGTCAAACTCAATGAAAACCGATTTTTTTTCTTAATTGGCCTCATCCCTGATCGTCTTTTAATATGAAATAGATTTGGTACGTTTGTTGAAATATAAATTTTAGTAAAATGACAAAATAAACGATGTTCTTTCAAAGATCTTTAAGTTTTTTAAGTTTTGAGCAAACTTGAACAATAAAATAATTATTTAAACTATCTTAGGTTTCGATGTTATATAGAAATTATCCAGCCAAAGTAAATTTAATTAGCTTTAAAAGTCAAATTCCTTGGTCAAGAAAAAGTGTTGTACAGCTCGCGAAAAGCATGTTCTTTGGGGGAAAACTTGTTATCCTGTTCGCGTTTTAAATAATGAAATTTTCAACCATGTTCGCCGCTTTGCATAATTTTTATGTTTCGAAACAAAATAAACTTCATTGTGTACAAAATAGTCGAAAGTTTATTTTAGCTGAACGTAAAATTGTTCTACCTTGAAAGATTCGTTTTCCGCCACTTTGTACCTATAGGACTCTTTTATATCAGATATCGGCATTATTTCGAACGTGTCTTTAATCAGCCCGATGACACCTTCTCCGGTCGATCTCTTCGTCCTGAAACAAAAGGAAAAACTCTGACTAAACAGAAAAAAAATTTCTTCATTTGTCCAGAAACTATTTTGCTCTCCAGGTATTTCCGAAAAAAATTCAACTTTAAGACTAAATCGCAATAAATAACAATGGGGATGTGATGTGGACGCCGGTGATATACGATGTCGCCCTGTCATGTCTGGAGGACGTTTGTCATTCATGTTGGCATACGTTTCTATTTGAAAACCGTTTACGTTTAACACCCCAAAATAATTTTGTTCCTACGGTTTGAAATTAGTTATATAACTTGTTAATAAAATATGATGAACGTTTTGTACCGAACGTGTCTAATTTAGGCGCTGGAGGGTGAAAAACTGGGCTAAGAAGATGCAGTTTTCAAGATTCGGCTAGCGTGCGCTGATACTGTTAGCGGCTTGCATCAAATAACGATTCTTCACCGGTTGAAGATAAGATGAAACTATCCATCATAACTATTATTGTCTTGACGCGATAAATTTTCAGGCCGGGCCTTGGAAATTTCAACTACGCCACGAACTTATTGCAGAAAATTTGCATGTAAATTAAGACCGGCTCCGCCATGAATCGTATTTTCCGTGATACCTTGTAATATTCTTTTTGGAGGGAGGAGGGTAATAAAAGTGGACTTAACACCGCATTTTTAACATGTTCGAGTTTCTACAGATTACATGCTTGAAGGCCAGCGGTTTCAACTTTTAAAAGAGTGCCAGTCGTCGGAAACCAGCAATATTTTGGTTTTCTGTAATGATTTATTTGTTTCATAGAAATTTCTAATTTTCTTGAAACCAAGGTATTGCTTTTCTTATTAGATCTGTGGTTAACAACTAAATAGAAAAATTGGTCAGCAGTTAATCGTTCCTGGTCATACCCAACAAGTGTATTCAATCTTGTACAAACGAAATAAAATTAATTGCAAAAACTGATTAAAAATAAATATTATAAATGAATTTCGTTTTTTTTTAATCCAATGAAAAATGATTGACTCCGTTAGACTTGAGAAGATAGGAAGAAACGAAGGGATGTCTGAACTACCTTTCATCTGATATAGAGTCATTAATTATTTAATAACAAATGTTGTCGCTCTTTAACAGTAAAGTTTTACGAAATCCTGGCTGACGTAAACAAAGTGAAGTATTCCCAAACAGATGAAAGAAATTATATTCAAAAAGTAGAACTAATAGTAAAAATACGTATATAATCGGTTTTTATTTTTTATTGCTATATTAAAATGTATTCTTTCTTAGGGATGGTTAGGTTTCTTAGGGATGGTTATTCTTTCTTAACAAATATTAAACTATTATGGGCTGAAAATAACGGAATTTTATACTTTATAAATCTTACACTAGATGACATCAGAAGAAAGAACGTCTCGAACGTCTTGAATCTCTCGACGTTCTATTAACTAAAGACTATCTATTTTTTAAAAAGTAAATTTCAATACCGATAAAAACATTTTTGTTTATATACTTACTGTTGTTGACAGCAAGAACAATGGAAAGTTTAGTTCACTATTGTATAAATTTGTAATACACTATAATTGCTTCATGTGTGAATTTCGTCAGGGCAACGTTATAAATCCCATGTTTTTGTTAACGCCAATGATAAATTTTTAATTTAATTTTAGTTCGATTCTTGTTCGGTAAAAGACAGTAAAAAGTTAAAAGAATAAATTTAGAAATGCAAATCTGTAACACACATTGATTCTTAAGTGGAGTTCGTCAAGGCTACGTTATGAATCCACTGTTGTTGTTTTTTGACATCAACAACAAATTTATACTTGGATACTTAGGATTTTCTTATAGTTGGGAATATAATAATAACAATTCGAACGAATAAATGCAAAAATAAAAATCTGTAACTATTTTAAGAGGTTCGTGAGGGCTACGTTATGAGTGTCTTGTTTTTTCTTATGTAGAAAACGCATTTCGGCAGTCTAACTGTGTAACATCCTTCCGAGCGTTTATGTTAAAAGAAGTTGGTCTAATTTTTAATTTTGTTTTGACAAGTTGTGTCTACATATTACCCTAGACATTATGAAAAGGGAACAAAACGTTATAAATCCAAAGTTTTTTGTTGTCATCAATAATACATTTGTACTTTTAATATTTTACTTTTTTATTTGGAGGCTAAGACAGTAAAAAGTTAAACGCATAAATACAGAAATACAAATCTGTAACGAATTCTTTTTGGAGGTTCTTCAGGGGTACATTAAGAGGCCCGCGTTTTTCTTCGTGTACGCATTTCAACTGCACTCTTAATGTCTAATATCTTTCCGAGTATTGATATTAAAGCAAGATGGGCTAATTTTTAAATTTTGTTTGACAAATTTTGTCAACTTATTATGACACTTGGAAAAAAGAACAAAACGTTCCGAAAAGTCGTGTATGCAAATAATAAAAAGGTGACAAAACATCTAGTTCTTTTCTGGCTGGAAAATCCCACACTACTCATCGCTATATTTTGTAGTACTACCTCTAGACCTGGTTATTCTAGCCGTTTCGTTTCTTTAAATTTTACTTTTTTTTAGTATAGAGAATAATAATAATAATACACTATTGCACAAATCTGCAACAAATGGCGAAGAAGCAGGTGCCCTTGTGTCAACCGCATATGGCTTATTCTTAATCAGGTAAGGACGATCAGGAGGGCTATCTACAGGTCGTGCTTTTGACACGCAAGAGTCTCTCAGACGACCCCGCCCATAAAGGTGATTTATCTGTATTACGATATCATTGATCAGACTTTTTAAACAACATTATATTTAAAAACTGATAATAAATGAAATTTGTGTTGTGACCAGTTGAAATAACAAATCACTCATGTTTTATCACGTCGCGTGTTCATGTCAACAAAAGTCTTTTTAAATTAAATTAAATTTAAAAACTGATAAAATAGAATTCCTACTAAATTTTCGTCGCTACTTTATCTTGCCAGATGAAAGAACGCTACGAATCACTACGTCCTATCACGTCGCGTGTTCATGTCTACTAAAGACTTTTTAATTAAAACTACATTTAAAAACTGATATAACAGAACTTCAAGAATAAATCTGTACTTTTATGCTTAAGCTTTTCTCATAAGAATGAACAGATAAAATTTTAACAAATAAATGCAGAAATAATAATCTGTGACAACTATTTTTTTTTGGGGGGGAGGGGTTTCGTCTGGGCCACGTTATAAGCCCCCTGTTTTTCTCCCTACGTTCATGCGATCAAATGCAGAAAGGAACTAACTGTAAATTATTGATTTTGCTCTTTATAACGAAAATGTTGAATTACTTCAACGAAAAATGTAAAGTATAATTAAATTAATGATTTGATTAGATTGAAATATTTTGGCTAGAATAAAATTACTAGAATCACAGCGATTTTGTTTTAATGTTAAAAGAATATTTTTGTTAACCTTTTCTCTGATGTTGAAAAAGTCGATATCGGTGGCAATTGGAGAGCTTTGTTAATCTTGTTTGCCAGAGAGAGGCCGTCGATGTTATACTGGGCGCCTTCGGCAATGAGCTGAAAAAGTTCAAAAGTGAAAACAAGTTGTTGTTTTTTTTAATGACAATCTTACTTCTCTGAACGACGGACTGCCTTGCAGCATTGCGAAGTTGCTTTTGAACTTGGGCTCGGAAATGTACTTAATCACAGACTTGACCTGTTCGTCCGACATGGCGTACTCCATGCCCAGTGAAAGGACCTGGTCGTGGGGTACCATTTCGAAAAGTTCTTCAACTTCGACTTCTATCCCGTTAACATTTGGATGGCCTGATTTGAAGAAAAAATTAAATAATAGTCTTATAAAAAAATGTAAAAAAAACACTGAGAGGCAAAAAGAATTAATGGATATTTTTGAAGAAAAATATAAGATAGCTAAATAAAAAATTAAACTGAGTAAAACAATTTTAACAAAAATTCACTAGTGTTCGTGGTCCGCTTGACCAATTAATATCTTTCAATTAATTAAAGTTGTTAGTTGGGAAAAAAAAGTCAGTGTCACGAGCGGGATTCGAACCCACGATCTTCGGCTAGATACGCCGCTGCACTACCACTTGATCAATCGTGACTTCGATCCACTCGGACACTAACTTCCCATCTCAACCTCACCTTTTGAATTTTCCCTCTTTTTGCCATTTTTCAAATGTCGTGTAATCTATTTGATTCTCGGTGACAAATGAAATGGCCACGGAGAGCTTTAGTGAAGTATATTTCATTTTGCTTATTACATTTTATTAGGTTTCGTGGTCCGCTTGTCCAAATAAATTCTTTTCAATTAATTAAGGTTTTTAGTTGAGATAAAAAAGTCAGTGTCATGAGCTGATCTACCACCTGAGCTATCGTGACTTCAATCCACTCGGACACCAACTCTCCATATCAACCTACAACCGTTCGAATTTTACCATGTACCAAAAATGTTGCTAAGGGAACAATGAAGAAAATGTTCAATTCATTTCTGAGCTTCTCTTGCTTGATCTTCTCTTGCTTGCATTTGACGTGGCATCAATTTTATGAGGTTTTAATGTAGTGCTGTGGAATATTTTCATACTCCTCCAACAGCGCCATTGGGGAACTTTTTACCTCTTGCCATTTCGTCCCAAAAGTGTTCGACAGGAATTACATGCCGGCCATTCCAAACATTGAATTCCGATCCAAATAGTCACAAACGATCTTAGCTATGTAGGGCCTAGCATTTTCATGCATAAAAATAAAACTGTCGTCAATTAGTGCCATATGAGAAACAACCTCTTATGATAACAAATCTTCAAATCGCGCACCAGTTAAGGAACCCTCGATGAAGATCAAGTTTGTGCGACCTTCCAAAGAGATGCTTGCCCGAAACTTAACACTACCTTCATAGCTTCTCCTGAGTGAAACTGTTCCGGGTAGATGTCCGTCTCCTGTTCTACTCTAAACCCTTTCTCGGCCGTTAGTCAAAGTCAAAGTCAAACAAAAACTTGTCTTATCCGAAAACAAGATTTTAGTTCAATCTTGCTCAGACCAATTGATGTGATTTCTTGCGAAAATTAACCGAACCGTCAGGCTTTGTCAGTTCTGGACTAGTGGCAGGCCATCTCACACGTCATCCAGCTTCGGCAAGTCTTCGTCTTACAGTGCGTAAACTGGCATTGACATTTCTAACTTGTTGAAGACGTTGTTGATCTGCACATCGGTAGAATGTCGATGTACTTCGAAACAATAAAAGGATTACTCTCAGAGATTTGACACGATGGTGACCTGATCCATGCCTTCTTGAGTCCGCTATATTGTAGCAATGGAAGACCCTTGGGTCACTTACCCTTGACTTCTTCCATCTTCCAACTAGCCAAATCTGTATCACTTAAAACCGTCACTCAAACAAATTTGAAGTTTCAAAATGGTACAACTTAAACCACAGAAACGCTAGATAGAAGCTTTACAGAAAACCCAACAAATAATAGATAGACTCTTCCAAGATTTATTTACAAAATCCAATTGTAAACACAAATAGGAAATTTTATCTGTATTTTATTTACCTCTAATCCTTTAAAACGGACCAAATATTGTTTTGTAAGATAATCAATGGAGGATTGTCTAAGAGGTAATTATAAATATTAAGAGTGCCACTTTTTTGCCTCTCAGTGTTGAATAAATTATATTTACCCGTAACGGCAACAACTGCGATGAGAGAGAAAACAAAAGGCAACATCTGAAAAAGATGAAGAAACAAATTAAAATATATTACCGATTACCAAAAAGAAAATATTCTTTAATAAATCCTACAAATTTTTGTTTTATTACATCCAAGATAAACCTCACGTCGTAACATATGTAATAAATTATCAACCGAGTGCATAAATTAAAAAGAATCGGATATCATAACAAAATAACGTTTACTTTTCGTATTTAATAGGCCGGTAGGTAACCAAGTTCTTCTGACAGATTGTACAAAACAAGATCGGCGAATCAACAACATAGATCTCATTACGTACCCTTGACGAACTCCACTTTGGAGTGAACAGGATTAAGATTGAATCCTTTTTAAAAATATAGTTCCTACTCACAGTAAGTTGTTTTCAACGATGCGGATTTCGAGCTTTTAGCTCATCATCAGGTTGAAGGAGTCAATTAAGATTGTTTAAGATAAAGATCGTTCTATTCTGTCAATACTGAAGATATTTTTACAAAATTAAAATTTGGTAACAATACATCTAAACAATTTTGTACAAGAATAAAAACGGCGGATTCATAAAGTTTCCCTGCCAAACGCCCTCAAATTGCCCAACGTTTGATATACAAAAATCGATTCCAATTAATAAACCAAATTATGAGAAGAAAATTTACGTTTGTTTTGACGAGCTGGGCGATAAGTGATAATTTCTTGTGTTCATTGGAACTATTGTTTCGATTCAGCCCGTCCTGGAGAGGGTTTCGTAAAGTTTATGGGCAACAAGGGATTTCGAGGAAAAAAACAATCTGAAAGGAAGCGGAAGGATGTGTTTTTTGCATTAAAATTGTTGAATTCACAAGCATACGCGAAAAATAATAAAACTTGTTACTTCACAAATCGCTATTAAAGCCGACAAAGATGAAAGAACGCCCTGAATTCCTTCTACGTTATAAGTTTTTTTAACAATATATTTTAATTTTTCAGAATTCATTTTTCTAAACTTGCTATTTCAGACATGATCACGTCGCGAGTTTATGTCTGAAAAGGCAAGTTTAAAAAAATGCCTTCTTAAAAATTAAATTTTATTTTTCAATTAATTAAGGTTTTTAGTTGAGATAAAAAGTCAGTGTCACGAGCGGGATTCGAACCCACGATAGATACGCCGCTGCTGTACCGCCTGAGCTATCGAGACTTCGATCCACTCGGACACTAACTTCCCATCTCAACCCCACCTTTTGAATTTTCCCTCCTTTTTGCCATTTTTCAACTTTCTGACTTTTTTATTTCAACTAAAAACCTTAATTAATTGAAAGGTATTAATTGGTCAAGCGGACCACGAAAACTAGGGAATTAAATTTTATTGTTAAAAAACGATAGAAAGTTATAAAATTTGATAACGCGATACTTGACTTGTTTAAACAGCAACGAGAATTATTACCAATATCGTTTTTATTGTACTTGTATGACAATAGCACAGATCAGAAAATAAATGGAATGGAATGATAAAACGTTTATAGGTCTTTCAGTGATACTGAATACGATTAAACTCTAACATAAAAGTTGCAATTTGCGGAGCTATTAAAATTTTAATAGTTAAGAAAAATATCGTAAATGATCATATAAAACCTGCTTTTTATAGCTGCTCAAATGATAAATTTGAACTTTCATTCCTATGCCTGGGGAAGGAAAGTAAAAATTTTGACGAATAAATAGAAAAATTTAAATCTATAACGAACTCTGATTATTATGTGCAGTTGATCAGGGATTATGAAACCCTCTTTTTTTATTAGTATCAATGATAAATTTGTACTTTTATAATTAAACTTTTTAAATATTGGGGATAGGACAGTGTAAAAAGGTGATCGGATACAAATCTGTAACATAATCTTTTGAGGGGTTCGTCAGGGCTATGTTATCAGTCCACTGTTTTTTCTCATATACGAAACGCATTTCTGCTGCTCTCTTAATGTGTAAGATCTTTCCGAGTGTATATGTTAAAGGAAGTCGGTCTAATTTTTAAATTTTGTTTTGACAAGTTTTGTCTACAGGCATTTCGAAAAAGGAACAAAACATTCCGGAACAGACGACGTTATGAATTTTTTTTTTTTTTTTGTCATCAATGAGAAATTTGTAATTTCATACTTATTTTGAGTAAAAGACTGAACGAATAAATTCAGAAATGCACCTGGAACGAACTATTTTTGGGACTTCCTCAGGGCCATATTATCAGTCTACTGTTTTTCCTCGTGCACAAAACGCATTTCCACCGCTACTTTTGCTGTCTCCCCCCTTAATAAGTCAAGGAATGACAGAGATATAAATATTTCAAATGTGTCAGCCAAATTTACCAAAAAGATATATAGAAATCTAAAACAGACAACCAAAATTGCACGACAATTATACTTGTATTCAACAACCTTGTTGATTCTGATGCAGAGTTCGTCAAGGTGACATTACGAGTCTATTATTTTTTATCTCTTGACTATCTGTTAATTAATTTATTGAGTATTTGAGTTGACTATTTATATATCATTGATTTTCTGATTATCTTATTATATATCTATTTTTATGATTATAAAATTAATTGGTTCCAACACTTTAAAATAAAATAGAACTTCCATTAATTTTTCGTTGTTTCATTACTTTAGCAAATAAAAGGACACCACGAATCTCTCCACGGTCTTTTAAACTAGACTTTTTAAATAATAATGAATTTAAATAGTTATAAAATAATACGTCCAAGAATTTTACGCCACTGTTTTATTTTTCGGGGTGATAGATTGTCATGAATCCATTCTATGTTCCATCAAGTTTCTTAAGAATTTTTCTTAAGAAAAGACAAAAATACTATGTTTAAAACATTAAATTGAATTTGAAAGGAATAAATTTGATTTTATTGACAAAACACTTATAATCAGTTATTTTATGTTTATATTTTTATTTTATTCTTTATTTCTAAACCATGTTACATTAGACGACTGCAAATCAATTCGTAAATTTTTACTTGATAATCATCTACTCCAAACAACAGTTGAAAAAACGCACGAATCCCTGTAAAATCTATCAAGATCCTCAGATAAATAATATCATGCCTAATATGATTTTTTGTTTAATGCGTATTGTTCACTTATTTGTAGTTTCATAAGGGTTTGCTTATTTTGTACACATGCTCTTGTGTTATGTTCTGTTAGGGTTTTCGATTTCTTTTTTTTTTTTTTTTTTTTTTTTTTTTCAATATCAAGTATCAAGTTGGATGTCAGAAAGAAGTGGGTCGTCTTGCCCGACACCTTCACGTGTTCACGTCGATTGCATGACCGAGTTAATACAGATTCAGCACGTTGATTAAAAATTTACAGAAAGTTCTCCTTTTTTTTACTATTTTATTTATCAAACTCATCGCATCTAGTTTTCAGAAGATTACTGTTTTTTTCCATAAGAGTTAAAAATGTTGATAAAGTTCACTCCAGGAAAATAAAAAAATTTCATGATTGATGTAATTTATTATCACACATTCTCGCTCTGATTCGAATTACAAGGCTTATTGGCCTAATTCGTGCATTATCTGACTTTTTTGGGGTGCGACAAGGTTGAGTTATGAGTCCCATGTATTTTTCCCTCAAGCCTGTACTTTTTAACTTACACTTTTGTTTCAACTTTTACCTTTCCATTTATTGAAGATAAGATATTAAATTAAATAACTCATTCCCAACTCTTGGTGTCGATTCCTTGCACAATTCATTTTCGTTATAAACTTTTTTCAGTTTATATATCTGCCGTTGTTGAGAGTTGGTCGTGTGAAAAGTTTACACTATTTTACAAAACTGTATCACACTCAGATTCTTCCTCAGGGCAACGTTACTTATTCCATGGTTTTGTTGTCGTCGATGATCATTTTGTATTTTTATGCGTACATTTTTCCAGTTTTGACGATAGGACAGTAAAAAGTTGAACGGATAAATGCAGAAATATAAACCTGTACCGAAATATTTTTGTGAGTTCGTCAGGGTTATGTTATGAGTACACTGTTTTTTCTCAAGTCAAAACGCATTTCCGCTTGAGTTTTTGTCTGATATTCCTCCAGGCACTTTAAAAAACGAACAAAACGTTCCGAAACAGGCAAAGTTGTGAATCCTTCGTTTTAATTCAACGAATAAATACACAAACTGTTATCAACACTTTTCGTAGGGCTACGTCATGAGCCCACTGTTTTTTCTCATCACAAAACGTATTTCCACCGCAATTTTTGTTGACTTAATCCTTAATGGCAGAGACAAATAGACTGATTCCCAAAACACGGCTATAATAATTGAGATTTGTAGCAAAAGAGTTTCATTAATTCAAACATTTATTAATTTTACTTCATGACTGAAAAGGTAAAAAATACGTAAATCTAAAATTGGTTTAACCAAAATTTCATTACATATATAAAAAATGAATGGCAAGTATATTTGTGTATAAAAAACCTTGTTGATTCTGATGCGGAGTTCGTCAAGGTGATATTACGAGTCTAATACTTTTTGTCTTCTTCGTTGATACATAATTTCCTATATACATCTGTGCACTTATTGGATATTATCAACCTACTATTGTTTCCTGTTCCGATAGGATAATGTAAAGTTAAGAACAAAAAACAAAAAAATATTTGTGCCTATATCATCGGGTAAATGTTAAAAACAATTTATTACATAAGGGCAATTAAAATTGTAATAGTTTAGAAAATAAGTATCTTAAAAGTTCATATTAGTCAAATGCCTGCCGTTTTAAAACTGTTCAAAACTGACAACCTCTGGACCTGTTCTGCTGTGTTCTTTTATTATGTGTGCGTGCGTGCGTGCGTGCGTGTGTGTGTGTGTGTGTGTGTGTGTGTGTGTGTGTGTGTGTGTGAGAGAGAGAGAGAGAGAGAGAGAGAGAGAGAGAGAGTAGGTGGATAAACAGTTGTTGGTAGTATATAATTTTCTTTGTTTATTATCAATTCTTTGGTTACTTGTACCAAATCTGTAACCAACACTTTTTGGGGTTTGTCAGGTCTAGGTTATGGAGTCTACTGTTTTTTCTCAAGTAAAGAAACATATCTGCTGCGAATTTTGCTATTATAGTAGTGTTGAGTAGCGCTTTTCTAATCTTTTTTATTTCAAACATTTGGGAAATTTAAATTAAAACATGTGTTAGAAGAAGAACTAGAAGTAAATGCTTTCGATATAATACTAGGTGGTCTTATTTATCATTCGTTCTTACCCGTTTGAAACACGAAATGTTAAAATTATAAACATTCCAAATTTAGCCAGTATAAAAAGAAAAAATCATTCTCCTATTCTTGATTTTCATGCGGTCGGATCTGAGAACAGGGATTTCCACACTGTTGTCAAATTTTGAGGAAAAATGGGAGCCAACGATTGCACCCATTTCAAACCGTTCGTCTTCGGCCCGATTTTCCGCCAACCGGCCCCCGTCCGGGTAATAAGCCGGTCGAATCCGTCGAGAAGCGCCGGGACGCAAACGGCCAAAGAAGTTGCAGAACCTGCTGCTAGAGTCAACGTCTCGACGCAGACAGATTCCAAATTGAAGTTAACGGCCGTGAAAGCTACAAGCGCCTTTTAACATCTAGGTCCAGTCACTTCTGCCTCCTCCAAATAAATAAAATATAAATTAAAAAACAACGTTCCTTTATCCTACATAAACTACTGTACTAGGATCAATTAAGAAATGCAATCCTTCAACAAGCAGGCCCTGCTAACATTTTGACCTCATTTACTTACCAGCACATATTGTATGCTGTGAGCTGAATTGGGAATAAACCTTGAAGACTGGAAAAAGTATTTTAACACATACCAAAGTTTAAACAATCTGGCAAATGAATTAACAGCTTACATTATGTCTTAAAGCAATTAAATGTCAAATGTTTGTGCCCTCATGACAGGGAAACTGGTTTGGCATTAACCAGATTAAAGTTCTGTAGAATTTCATAACAAAATACTTTCAAAGTGCTTTACTCCTTTATGTTTGCACAACTATCGCCTTCTGTATTTTGGTGACAGGACAAACTTTAAACGTATGATTAACTCTAACTGCTACTTTGCTATGACCTCAACTGTTGGAACGGGACCTCTCCAGACTTGAAGAATTAATTTTAACATACCATTGGCTAAACTAACCAGCAGTCGTTACTTACACTCCATTAAGCATTTATGATCATATGTTTGTGCCCTGATGGCAGAGTGGCTCAAGTATCCAGATTAAACTTCTGCGGAACCTCATTTACAAAATTTGTTACGTTAAAAAAATACTTTCCAGATTGATCAGATTTAAACTTATAGGCTTAAAGCATAATTGGTATAATGTTTAAAAATCAAATTGAACAATAATTTTTATGTGCATCAGGAGTGAATTATGACTCCCATGTTTTTTGTTGGCGTCAATGTTAGAAAATATTGTACTTTTATGATTACATTACACAACTCGCAGTATTCTATTTATTTGAGATATAATATCAAGGTGATGAATAGGTAATCAGACAGGTATCTTCAGACTTGAAGATAATTTTAATATTATATTAATGGCTTAACTACTTCACAGATGATTTCTGAACTTACATTAAGTCAAACGCTTGTGCCCTAATGGCATGGAGGCTGCTGCTAGTGTGGCACTGGCCAGTTTAAATTACAGTAGAACTTCATTAAAAAAAATGTCTAATATTAACTTAATAGAATTGACGTGCATCAAGGATGAGGATATAAGTCCCATGTTTTTTGCTGGTGTCAATAATTCAAAATTACACTAGTATGATTACATTACACATTCTTTTTTTTTAATTTAAGATGGGAAATTAAAAAATTAAACGTAATTAACTGAATCTGCTATGTCGTCAAGTGGTTCTGGAAGTAGTAAACCTCTACAACCTTGAAGATCTGTTAAATTGAATATTGTTATCCATGGCCTAATTACCTAACTTATAAATTTGCAACTTACATTAAGTTGTTACACACTTTTGAACAATTTTTTTATGGTTTTAAGGTATAGAAAAATATTTTCTAACATTTCCCTGATGGTATGTTAGCAGATTAATCAACAACCAAATAAGTAGGAAAATGGATCAACATGAACATAATTTTTTGAGTAAAGTAATTCCTGTCATATAGGAGGGCTTAACATTCAACTATCCGTTGGGTTTCATACTATAATCAATTAAAAAGCTATGGGCTGTGCCAGGGTTTAAACCCAGGACTGCTAGCATTGGTTTCCCATTATATTTTCCAGTAATACAAGAACAAATATCAGCCTTCTGGATTGTCCTCCAGTTCCTAAGTGGCCAAAGAAAAATCATATCATAATTCAGATGACAATGCAGATTTCGCCTCTCAAATTCTGCATCAATCATGTAAGGATCAGAAGGGCAAAGGCTGATAAATGCTCAAGTAAATGTACATGACAGGAACAGAAACAATTGTGCTAAGGGCATGGAAATTGGACGACACAAGAAATAAGATCGTAGGAGGAATTCAGAGAAGAAAGGTATTTTTTTTAAACAAGGAAATAAGTCCTCATAGATGATGGAATAAAGCCAAAACATGTCTGAGTAACATCTAAAACCGCAAATGTAGACAGATTCACAGATGCCAGCTCAACATAGCTTTCACCAACTCGCAGATCACCTAACTTCAACTTTTATCCCCCAAAAAATCATATCTGCACATACAAGAAAAAACAACAAAAGCATTCATTTAGTTGTTTAATACAAAGCTCATTTTCAAAAACTGCTTTTTCTCTTCAAATTTCTCCTTTTGAGTACTAGTTTTGACAGGTCCAATTCCAAGGCCATGTGTATATTAGTGTTGACTATTGTATTAACGGTAAAAAATTTCTTTTGCAATTAATTAAAATGTTTTTTCAAGCAATAAAATCATGCTGAAGATGTGATCAGAGACAAACTGATAGGCCAAATTGCTGAATTTCAGCTGTCAACATACCCCATTAGACCGAAATTACAATAATTTTGAAAAATTAATTTTTAATTCAGTTTAGCAAACCACGAGAAAAAAACGATGATCCTTGTGTGGCCGATTTGTAGAAAAAGAACTTTGTAAGATCTTTTTACGTGTGAAATTTATTGTATTCACCCGATAAATGGTTTTTACTATAATAGATCAAAAATCTTTTGCCACGTTTTCAGACTATAAAAAGACAAATATATAAAAATGATTATTAGCTATGTTAAAAATTTCAATAAGGTAAATCTTGGTTTAATTAACATTACAAACTATATTCACTCTATTTTTACATTATGCTAGCAGCTAAACTACCTCCTCATGTCATGATCCTTTCATACAACAATAAATTTGGATTAAGGAAAACCTTAAGAAAATCAACAGTTCAGCCATTGGTCCAAATCAGTGGTAAAATATTAATAATATAAACTAATATAATAAACCATTTATGTCATTTTGCAATGGCATACCCTTTTTAACAGAAAACTTTTAACAACTTAGATAATAAAAGCATAAAAAAGTGGAACAATTTGACAATCTCACTGAGCGTTACTTACCTTACGAGGAAGCCGATTCCTACTGCGGTCTATTTCGGGAGAAGCAATTAAATAATTCTCACCCCTACTGCTTTCATTCAATTCAATTTAATACAGCCATCCGATCTTCTGTCAAGCGTCAACGCCAACCGGATTGGCCGTCGCAGACCCGAAACACTTTCAACACTTACAAACTAAAAAGTCGATTTTTGACTTTATAAATTTTCAAGGTTTTATACATGTTGAAAGGGTTTAATAGAAAACATTTTATATAGAGCTTACAAATATTTATTTATACCGGCGTACATATACAAATTAATCACATGTGACATTATCGTTATTCGTAAATCAAATATAACTGAATATGGAAACTTATGAGTAAATACATATTATATTTATATTCAAAATTTCGCATATTTATATAAATCGTTAACTATAAACTAAACTTGTTTCTTCACAGATGTATATTATTTGCTCATGTACCTCTGTCAGACTTATTTCCTAAAACAAATAACAAAATTAATAAACTGATCAACCTTTAAAATGACACACATATCCCACCGAACGTTTCATAATTTACATGTTGTGTCTTATTCACATTCCATTTGACACTGTTATTCTATTAAACAAAGCTTAATCATCTCGACAATTTCATAATAGAAAATTAAACAAATAGGTTGAGCAGGATAATCCGAGATGATCAAACTACAAGCTTGAGAGAAGAGATGAGAAGAAACAACAGACAATCAAACTACTGCATAATAGAATAAGACAGAAGATCGGAGAAAAAATTACAACCTTCTAGATTGAAAAGGAAAATCAGAGATAGACATGCTAAAAGCTCTTAGATTGAGCAGAATAATCAAACATGTCCAAACTACAAACTCTTACATTGAAATGATAGGTCAGAGAAGGCCATGATTAGAGGAAACCAAACTTATTAACAAGATCATAGGTAAACTAAAAGCTTTTCTATAGAGTAGGAAGATCAGAGGTAACCCAACAACAAGCTTCTAGACCGAGAAAAAAGATCAGAGCTGAACAAGCTAAAAGCTCTTAAGATTGAGCAGGATAATCAAAGATGACCAAATTACAAGTTCAAAGAATGATAAGAAACATCAGACAATTGAAATATAACCAAGAATGAAGATCAGATGTCCAAACTAAAAGCTTATCTAGTGAATTGGAAGATTTGAAATTCTTCTAGAATGAGTTTCTATACTGAGAAAGAAGATCAGAGCTAAATAAACTAAAAGCTCTTAGATTGAGCAGGATAACCAAAGATGACCAAACTTTAAACCAAGTATTAATTCACTCCTTTCGTGGTCCGCTTGACCAATTAATACATGACGATTAATTAAGGTTTTTAGTTGAGATGAAAAAAAGTTAATGGCACGAGAAGGATTCTAACCCACGACCTTCGGCTAGATACACCGCTGCTCTACCACCTGAGCTATCGTGACCTCGATCCACTCGGACATCAACTCCCCATCTCAACCTCACCTTATTAGTTTTCCCTCCTTTTGCCATTTTTCAATGGTCAATGAATGTCCGAGTGGATCGAGGTCACGATAGCTCAGGTGGTAGAGCAGCGGTGTATCTAGCGGAAGGTCGTGGGTTCGAATCCCTCTCGTGCCATTAACTTTTTTTCATCTCAACTAAAACCATTTAAACCAAGTAGTGAGCCTGAGCTCAAAGAACGAGAAGAAACATCAGACAACTTAAATGCAACCAAGAATGAAAATCAGATGTCCAAACTAAAAACTTATCTATTGAGTAGGAAGATCAGAGATGACCAAATTAACAACCTCCTAGATTAAGAAGGAAGATCAGAGATGACCAAATTAACAACCTCCTAGATTAAGAAAGAACAGTGAGATGTCTAAACTAAAAGTTCATAGACTGAAAAAGATGATAAACAATGAACTAAATACAAGCTCATTGAGAAGCATTGAGAAGAATAACCAGGTAACTGAACTACTTCACAATAGTTGATTTTGTTTCTCTGTAAGCATAGAATTCATCGTCTTTTTACATACCTGTCGTTTTGTGTACCTACCTTCTTAACACAGTATAAACATTAACCTTATTTTTGAACATCTTTTTTTTTTTTAATTGTTAATGGTGCTCTTGTAACTTGTAAATTAAAATTAAAATATCATTGAACATGGCATTTAGCGCTATATAATGATTCCTGGAGAATTAACTGATATAAATTGTTATGTTAGTTGCAATAGGTCTATGCTAGAGCGATTGAGCAATGAAACACCATTACAGAAGCTGTTGCACATTTGCAATCAGTCAATTAATCTTAAAAAGAGCGATGTTTTTTTATCTTGTCAGTAATTACACAGTAAGTTATTTACACCTAAAACTCAGGAGGGTCATTTCTATAAGAAACGAGTGCAAATACTAAAGAAATAATTTGGGTTTATTACCATTTGCACCTGGGAAATGGACTGTATGACAATGAAATTAAATTTAAAACTAGAAAATGAACAAAACTGAATAAAACAAAGTAAATTTAGAGAGAAAGAAAACAATGAAGAAAAATAAAATAAATCTCACCTGTGTTCTAGGGGGATAGAGTATCTCCGAGAAAAGATGGTTGGGAAATAGGAACGAAAACCCTTACCTTGTGGTGGAGACAACTATCACGCTAGAGGAATGTTCAATTGAAAAAAAAAAAAAAAAATACAGGTGAAATAACAATGACATCCGGGGACGATTACAAAACTTTATCCACCATACAATTAATGTAAAATATTCACCATGGTCGTTCGACAACTGTATTGGTTAGGGAGACTAAAATATAGCAGGATCAAGAGACCGACAGTCCAAAGTACAACTAGATGCAGAGTTACATTTCCCTCGCTTATTTTGATCAGGCTTTTCTGAAAAAGTGCCTGGCCAAAATTTCAGCTCAGCATCTAATTTAAAAGCTTCCACACAAATAAACACGTTCTATTGTACTAGTGTTTTCCGCATTGCTGTGAAGTCCCGCTTAGTCCTGGCCTTGCTCCTTCAGACTACCTAGCTTCTGCACTGCAGCAAACTATCAAATACTACTGGCACTTTTATTTTTTACTTACCACTTTATTTTATTGACTTATTGCTCTTATTGATAATCTATTAATCCATATAATATTCAAATATTTTATTTCATAAATCAGGAAAATCCAAGTAGGAAAGTTAAATTGTAGCCATTCAAACTGACTTATTCATTAAAGAAATTTAAAAATACATCCCTAAATTAAGTATGTTCAAAATTAAATTTTCCTCGTCACCCATTAGGATCTTGATGTAGGTATTGAAGAAAATAAAACTTTTGATGAATATATAAAGACAAATAGGTTTAATTAGATAAAAGAATTTAAAAAACTGAAAATACCCAAATAGAAACATCATTTTTATTAGATATTCCAACAGTTTTTAAGTGAAACCAAAAGAAAATTTTTTTTATGTGAATTCTTTTTAAATAGAATATCGAAAATTCGACTGTTGTGTTAAAAACAATTGCTTAATTACAAAAAATAATAATAAACATTTTTTTTATCATCAAAACTATTTAAAAACAAAAGGTAATTATTTATCAAATAAAATATATATAATATTTATATTTATATATAAAAGCAATAAAGTTCACTGTTTAAATTTCAATTGCTGAACAATTACAAAACAATAAATACTTGGAACACTATTTCAACGTACAAACGTATGCTCACACACAGCTTGTTGATAGTTGAATTAACACATTTTATTAAAAACAATACCTATTTTCCAATTCATAAAAAGACAATTTTTATTCAAAACAAAAATTGATAATAATATAACTGTAGAATTCAAAAATAAATTAATTATAAATTGAACTTTCAATTCCTCCTCTTTATATATACTTTCTCCTCTTCCGTTTCAGCCCTCTAATTATTGATAACAGTAAAAATGTTCCTATCCATTCATAGTAACGATTGACACAAACGCAATAAACGCCTTGAAAAAAAAAAAGCACAAAAAAGTTGTATTATTAAAAAAGTAAATATTTTAAAAAATTAATGAATTGCAAGGAGAAAAGCCAAAAAAGTTAACTGCATGTATAAATAAAAACACGATAAATTTTGAATTTCAATAGCAACATCAAGTATCCTTAGGGTCTTATTTTGTCAAGATTTGAAAAATCAAAAAATAAAATAAACAAGTACCTTATACTTTATACAAAGCCGAAGTTCTTCGTTTTAATAGCTAGGAGTAATTTGTGCCTGAGAACTGCTCTACTGGAATATATTGGTATATACAATCTTGATATGCATGTATTGGCCGTGGGGAGATGGGTGTCATCCGCTGGTCTTATCGTAACCGAAGGCATCGGTTGGAAGCCATCTTCAGAAGCCGGGAGGGCAGGTGAGCCAGTCCAAAAATAAACCTTTAAAAAATAATAATAAAATAAAATCCCTTTCCTTTCTATGGTATGATTTTTGCAAACATACCAGATCCATTCGTTCCAAATGAGTCATTTTTTCAACAATGGCCCACAGCCAACGTTTAAATTTGAGAAGCCTGTCAGAGCACTCGCCGGATTCGTCGTTGAACGAAGTGTAAGATATCAGAACCGATACATTGATGTCTCCGACTCCATTCAACAAAAGCCGAAGGTCTTCAGCTGTAAGCCCGTCAAGCGAACCGGCTGGAATAACGTCGAAAACTCCTTGGCGAATTGCCTAGTTAAAAAAAATAAATAATCAATAAATGTCCTTTTTTGATCGACCCTCCATGTTTAATGACTCGGCCTATAATGGATCATTTGGGGGTCTTTATAATTTTATTGCTTTAACAAGAATTAAAGTTGATAAATAAATTAGAACTGGAGATACAAAATAAAACATTTCAGGAGTTTTTGTTGATTTCATCCTTATTTTTCTCACTTATAATATACACAATAGAACCCTAACCATTTTGTGCCCCCACCAGAACCCTACACTTCTTTTTATGGTTTTGTCCAATGTGTATCAAATAAATGTGTTCACTTAAATGCAATGTATTTATTTATTAACATAAACCTCTAACAAAAAATAAAAACAGTTGATGTGAGGTCGAAGATAAATGTAGCTTTCCAATATTTGCAATACTGTGGAGATTGGCTAAAATCCAGAAGAGAGATGGATTTTGTGCAACACTGGATATCAGAAGAAGAAAAAAAATTGCCTAAGTCAATCGAGCTTAAAAATGTCCCCTTTTTTTATTACAATGAAATTCATATTTTAGAGCCTTAAAGAGTGCTTAAAATGAATTTGAGTTGTTATTTGAACCAGATTTTTTTTAATCTGCTTTACTGAAAACATCTTTTTGTTTTCGTGTTTTTTTAAATTTTTTTTTTTTAATTTGCCTATTCTCATTAAAATACAATCCTGCATATTATTTTGTTATCTTATGTACAAAAAATGCTTAAAATGAATTTGAGTTGTTATTTGAACCTGAATTTTTTTAATCTGCTTTACTGAAAGCATCTTTTTGTTTTTGTGTTTTTTATTTTTTTTTATTTGCCTATTCTCATTAAATACAATCCTGCATATTATTTTGTTATCTTATGTACAAAAAATGCACAAAGGCAGAAAAATATTTTAAAAACATTATGTAAATTACTTCGAACATTTTTTTCTTAGCTCCTAAAGGTCCACTGGCAAGAATGCTCAGATACGTATTTAATACTTTTCGACCTGGTATCACCAAAAAAAGTTTCATTGAAATCTATGACCCAGCCATGAGATAATTGCTGAGGATGAGACAGGGGAAAAGGACACAAAACTGTTCCATTTATTTTGAATAGTTCATCTAACTATACAAGTTTAAGAAAAAAAACAACCAAGAAAAAGGACACAAGTAAATAAAAATGTAAATTAATTTCGATTCAAAATAAATCAGATATTCAGAGAAAAAAAATAATATGAAGACATACCTCTAATGCTTTTTGTTGCGATTTATACATTCTATATTCAGCATACTTTCTAACATAATCATAAACATTAGCAGCTGTGACTTCAATATCACGACCACCTGGGATTAATTCCATACTGCCTCCCCCTTCTTCCGGGCTAAGTTCAATGCTGGAAAACAAAAATGTATAAATTAGTTTAAATCGGTAAACTATGGGTTAGCGCAGAAATCAATCGTACCTAAAAGTAAGATCCAGGGCCGAGAATAAAGAATTGCCAGACTTCGTCTCAGCATCTATGACAAGCTGGCGGAGCGATTCATACATGACGGGGTCGAAGAAAGCCAAGTCGTGGAATCTAATCTGTCTCCCGAGTATAAATTTAAGGACGTGCCGGTTGAGAAGAAGCGGAAGAAGTTCGTTTTGCTGGAGACAGAGACCCATCAGTCTTCCCGTATTTCTGAAGGCGTTGAGCCTTTCAAACGAAGCTCTGCCCTGCCTCGGGCTGTAGAAGCCTCGTTTTCCCGGTGTGTAGAAAAGTGGTGCATTGTCTTCTATCACAGTCTCTTCGCCTCCTTCGCCGCTGGGGTCGCAAGGGGCTGGAGTGGGTGCAGCACTTCCTGTTGGAGTTGTACCACTATTAGAGCTATTAATTTTTGATGTTGATAACAAATCCATTTCTGTAAATTGACTCAAGTTAGTAGAACATCCGTTTTGGGTTAGTAGCAATTCAACAGTAGAACATACCTAGCAGAGTGTGGTTGCCGATTTGGTGGCCGTGGGCCAAAATTATCTGCATCGCTTCTTCGATCTTTGCTCTCAACGCATCTTCTGAAGCAAGAAGCATGAGAAGCTGTGCTGGCGACAATTCCAAAAGCATGCCTGTTATTTTTGAAGCAAATGAAGGTCGCAAACTATGAACCTGTAAAATTAAATTTGACAATAACACAAAAATATTTTTGTTTGCAATGTACAAACCTTTGGGTAAAGCCTTTCTCCAAGTGTTATTTGATGGTAAGACAGATGTTCATTAAGCTGGGTAGCTGAATTGCTCGTATTTTCTTGTGCCGTGCTTGCAGATGTTGAGCTACTTGTACCAGAAGTGTCTCCGGTCGTGGAAAGGTTTCTACTAGATTGGGCTGCCGGTGTGAAAGACCTGGCATCGAAAGACAGTGTTCGTCTGGGGCTACGACACCTCCCTGAAGTGGACGCCCTCGTCTTGGTTTTCAAAAACTGCTGGTTAGTTTGCAATTTATTTTATTCATTCTTAACATGCAATTTTAATATAACTTACCCCTGTCAGCCTCCTGGTGTTTTCTCTGTCACGGGGTCTCAATCTTGAAAGGACATTATACTGAGACCGAGAGCCAATTTGGGCCGATTCCAAATTCGGTAGTTTCTCATTTGCTAAAAGGGCCTAAAAGTGAAAAGGTATTATATTTTACTGACAGAAATAATTATTAACAAACTAAAGAATAATAAAATACCTCAGCTATTGCTGTGTAAAAGCTTCTAGCAACACCTGATCCTTCACCGGGTTCTTCTTTAAAAGTCACTTTCACTCTATTCACTGCCAAAGGAGGCTGTGAAGCAGCCCTACGTTGTTGTGAGTTATAAACAGTATTTAATTCCTTCAAAGTTTGGAATAAAAGCTGCGTCCTGTCACGTTCGACCTAGACAAAAACATAAAAAATTTAATTTCTGGCAAATACTTCAAGGAAAAAACCTTTACTACAATCAAGGTTAAACTTTGCAATGTACCTTTGACAGAGTGAGATCTCTGTTTTGTTGGTTTCTAAGTCTTTCCATATCGCGTCTGAATTTGGCTTCCTTGACTGGAAATCCTCCAAGCTCGCTCACAACCGAGCCGGGCTCGAGGCCGACATCTTCCATAAAGACTCTTCCGAAAAGGTCCAGCGCCATCCTCCATCTACCGAGGAGGATGTCGGCCGAGACCCAGGGCTTGTGTGGCGGTTGTTTCTGAACGCCAGACGGCCCCGGTTCGCTTATGTCCATTGGAGTGTTGGGCATAGCCGTCGACTGTTTGTTCTCCTCTTCCGTTTCTGCTCGACCTGCTCTCACTATTACAAGTGGCCTTGATGATTCCTGCACCTCTTCCGATGGAGTTTCTGCCGCGGTTTCATCTTTACTGACTATAGTTGGTACGTGAACGCAGCCTATTATTTTAAAGAAAATTAAAATATAAACTACATATAATAAATATTAAATTAACTTACCCGCTGGTGCATCCTGTTTTATTTCTTGATCTGCAAGCGTGTCTTTTCCTGCTGGTTTTACCGTTAAAGATGCTCCAGACCTTAAAGAAAGGCCTAATCTTGTAGGAAGCACTCTCAACTGATTAGTGGATGAAGCAACTTCTAAGATTTAAAAAACAAAAAATCAATTTTTTGTTAATTCAAAAAGTTACAATTTGTTAAATACCTGCTGAGGCTGTTTGTTGCTGCATGTCTATCTGCTGTTTTGGAATGCCAAATAGTTGGTCTTTAGTAGCGTTGGGTTGAAGAAGGTGCGGCTGGTCGGCAAGAGGTAAAGCTCGCTGCATCGGCAGTTCAAACGGATCTGGCGGACTGCAGCCGAGCCAAAGCGTTGAATCAGACCTCTGGAAAAACGGATGCCTTCTTCCTTTCCCGCTTGTACCCAAGGGTTCGACTTCTTCAACATCAGTCTCCATAGCGACAGGTGGAGGAGTTAGATCCTCTTCTGTTTCTTCGTTTTCATTCTCATCCTTTAACAAATAAAAACAAAAGTAATAAAAAGATTTTCTTCTTTCCTAATTGCAAACGAACCGGTTGGGTCCAAGTCTGAGGGAGTAGTGTTTCCTCGATGACTGGATTCTGATCTGTTCCAGCTCTAAGAAGATAGATCAAAGCGTCAAAGACGTATGCGATATGACGCAATGATGAAACGTCTAATACAGGAAGAGAATCGGCATGTTCAGAGTTGTGACATCTCATCAGGGAAAGGCAGTACATGAGCAACTCCCTCCTCGCAGAATGTGCATCAACTCCTTTAAAAACAAATTTACAAAATTCAAATACTTTATTTACAAACAAGCGTTTGAACTTCTTTTTTTTTCTTTTTTTTTTTTTTTTGGGGGGGGGGGGTTTTGTCCGTTGAGTTTGGAAGCACAAAATTGTTGCATGCAAGAATAAGTTTAATTCAAAATACGTTCAGATCGTCATGCGAGAGAAGGTTTTTTTTTTAAACATTGATCACTAGTCTCTCAAGCCAAAATTTAGAAATTTAATTTTTTTTATTCAATTATTTAAAAGATTATCCCATTCCAATTAAATATCTCTTAAATAATTAGTTTAAACTTTAATACTTTTTAGTTTATTTAACAGCATACATCCACAAGGATTTGGATTGCTTTTAATGGGGTGGTTGACCAATTCTCGGATTCTTTTTCCTAATCCTTCCATTCTTTCTCTAATATCTCATGAAATAATAGTCTGATCACAGCCTGGTCTCATTTTATTCACAGGTGTGTTACGAACATTTTGATATAAGCTTTAAGAGGAGCAAATCGCTTTGAATGGGGAAGATATCAATTTTTTGTTTTATATCTTATTTTAAAAAAATAGAACGCTGTAATAAGACAATGAGAGAGGAAAAAATCTTTTGTTCGCAACAAGGGTAACCGGGGGCCGAAAGCTAGGTGATGATGGTGGAAGGTCGAAAATGCCCTGGGAAGCGATTGAGAGGAGAGGGGCTGGCTGGTGTGGACAGTGCAAAGGATGCAAGTGTGAGAAAATAAAATCTATTTCTTAATAATTTTGCTTGTTTTCGCTGGATTGCGAGACTCCAAGGACCTCGAGATAGTGCAAGAAAACCAGAAGGAAGTCAGAGATGACTGAGGAGCTCCCCATTTTTGTTATCTGTTAGTAAGTTATATTTCTTTTTTTAATTCTTGCGAGTTGTCCAATAAGGAAAAGCGTTTAGTTTCAAACGAAGTGTTAACTTTTTTTGTTTCTAAGACTCACTATTCCCCGAGAGAAAAAATAGTGTGGTGCCCAACAAATCTATATAATTTATTGGTACTGCCCCAGAAACTTCCACAAAGCTACCGGCACCCACAACTTGGGTTGGTTGTCACGAAACCTGAGACAACACTTCCAGGACGTTGTAACCCTAGAAGAACATAATTCTAACAACCATATGTACGATGTAAATAAATAACGGCAAGCTGTTGGGGCTTAAGATTTGGAGAAAATCAATCATTCTCAAAAAAGTTTTTTTAGGAACAAAATGGATCATTTCTCGAAAACTACGACAGGTATGACAGAGTTTTTTGTACACATAATCAAACATAACTGTGCAGGGAGAGGAGGGCTTTTCTGGAAATACTTCACAGGTAGCATGAAAAAAAATCTGGAACATGTAACGTAAGTGATCATTTCTTGAAAACTACTGCAGGTTGTAGGTTTTTGTACACTTCACAGGTAACAAGAAAAAAAAATCTTGAACATGGTAACCAAAGGGATCATTTCTCGAAAACTATTACAGGTATGAGTTTTTTGTACACATCACAGGTAAGAAAAAAAAATCTTGAACATGGTAATCAAAGAGATCATTTCTCGAAAACTACTACAGGTATGAGATTTTTGTACACTTCACAGGTAATAAGAAAAAAATCTTGAACATGGTAACAAATGGGATCATTTCTAGAAAACTGCTGCACGTATGAGTGATGTTTTGTACAATCCTCAGGTAATAAGAAAAAAAATCTCAAACATGGTAACAAGAGGTATTTTTCCCTTATATTCAAAATGGACCTAATTTTTTTCTTTCAGCTTGATCTAAAAGTCTCTCCATCAATTGAAGTAAAAAGCTATTGCTAGTGCAAAGTTTGATTAATTTTGGCCAGAAACTCAGATTTTTGAGAAAGGTTCCCTAGATGAGTACGAATAGGTTATTTTTTGGGGGGAAAACAAAAATTTATAAATTAAATTCTTCTAAACATAATTCTATTTTGAATTTATTACCCAGCCTAGAAAACTGTGTAAAATGAAGATTAAGAAAGATTGAAAAAGCGGTAATGAAATTAATGCAGTCACATTTTGCGGAAGGCAACCTTTCAAAGTGATACTCCCCTTATTTTAGAAGATGTTCAGCATTAATAACTGTCTGAAAACGCATCTGTTCAGCGTTAATAAACTGTCTGAAAATGCATTTCAAACATTGCCTGAATTTTTTCAGAACTCCAAAACAAAGAACACGTCTAGGCATTTTTTGAAATTTTGTTTTACTAATTGTTTACTTGTGGTGATCATTTCATAATAATCTGCCCTTAATAATCTTCATTAAAAAGTCTCAGGGCCAGAATTTTATTTGCAAAATAGTTTGACAAAACTTATTTTTTGTCATTACTTGAAGCATAAGCAATTAACAGAAGCTAAGAAAAAGAAATATGAAGGTAAAAAAAACTATGACTTTTCACCGGTGGTTAGTTTATGTTCCATTTTTCATTTTTTAATTGTGCTATTTCTGACGTATATCATTTCGTTGGAGCCACACAGTACGGCCAACAGTGACATATTTGTGCTACATAGCAGGGTTCCGATTATATTATTTTAATATAATGGATTTTCAATAATATAATTAAATATTAATATTTAAATATTAATATAATAATTATAATAATCAAAAATTTTAAAAATTATCTTTTTACAGTCAGAATTGGTCGACTCCTCTTAAATCAATTGACTTAATTGTTTATTAATAAAACTTATTCCAAAATAATAAAAATAAAAAAATAAAATGGTTTTTACTTAAGAGAAGCATGGTATAGAAAAAAGAAAAATAGGAATTGTCTCCTACAAGAAATTTAGACCTCCCAGAACGAGAGTATATTAAAGGATAAATATTCAAAAATACCATCACGGTCCCGAGCAGGTCTGGAAGTATCAGTGCTTGTTGCAAATCCAATTATCCTTGTTGGACCGGTCGAGCTTTGGCTCGGCCTATGTGACGACTGGGTGGTCGATCTGGACGTATTTGCGGTTCCGGAAGATCCGGAACTATTCCCTGATGTACTTGGACCTCCACCACCTAAAAGCGGTGAGTTCAATGCTTGCTTGAAATTGGTACAAGTGGTTATTTCAGGCAGGGATACAAATTTTTCTTGAATAGTTTTATAAAATCGCTCTCCGCCATTTTTTTTTTTTAAATATACATAGCAAGGTTGAAAGTTTATTAAAATTACTCACTGCTGCTGTGGTGTAATGGATGATGTGGATGATTTGGATCCGTAGTCGACGTAAGTGAAGCACCAAACCTCAACTGTGACTCTGTAGAATCCATAACCGTCAACAGCCAATCCCATGTAGGCTTAAGTTGTTTTTCCACGTAATTCTGTCCGTAACACATCAAGGATTACAAAAACGTTCATTTTATTTTTAAAAATTATAACTTACCTGAAGCTGAATTGAGCCTTGATACGTGATCGGAATGGGCTGTTGTTGAGGCGCTGAGACGTGAAGGCTTCCCAGGAGGTCGGCTATCTGCCTCAGCACGATTGCAAAGCTCCTTGCAAGGCAAGCAGCGGTCGTAGTCATTGTCACGCCATCCTGGTTTGGGCTGGCGCCTCCCGTCCCAGAGTTGCTGGTCACGGATCGCCTCAACGACGCTGAATCAATAAACACTAGCGAATTTCCTGAAGCTACACGGAAACTTCCTGTCGTGAAAAGTTGAAGAGAAAAAACACGATTTTTATTTTTATTTTCAACTTCGAGAGCCTTCAAAATAATAAATTACTAAGAGTGAAAACTTTTAAAACAAAAAAAAAATTTTTCTTTTTTAATGCTACATAAATATTTAGATGAAAATCGACTGGAAAACTAATCTTGAAGGCACTGAAAAGTTGTGATATATTTAACAAATAAAAAGTTATACCAATTTTTTAAATTTTATTTTACTTAATTAGAATTTTTCTAAACTATAACACACCTGAGGATCTTGTGTTGGTGTCTCTACTCCTAATTGCCCACTGCATAGACTGCGGTGCAAGATTGTTCCTTTGTCCTTGGCCACTGCCACTTCTACAAACAACAAACATATAAACTAAACTATCAAGAAAATATTTCAATTTTTTGAACTATTAAACTGCCAGCCCATTGAAAAAGTGTGATCTCTTGAGAGTGTCAGACTTTATTCAGATAATCACTTAAATAATACTCGAAATTCATTTTAAAAGAAACTTAAAGTGGACGATTTGTATTTGATATTGAAAAAATTAAATTAAAATATTTACGTTCTTCTCTCTAACTGTTCATCAGCCAAAACTAGTTCCTCGTGATCTAAACTCTCGCTTTCCCCATCCGTCTCCTCTTGTTGACTAGAATCACCACTTTCGTCTTCGCCTGGGGGAAATTGTATAATTAAACAATAGTTTAAATTTAAAACTGTAAATTTATTTATTTTACCAGGAGCAGGAGGGGTGTTCGATGGAACGTGTTGAACAGTTTCTTGATTGCTCTGATCACTGTCGCTTTCCGTTTCTACGAGCAAGTCCTCGCTTTCACTCTCAGCTCCTTCCCTTTCAACCTCTCGTTCCGCTCCTTCCCTTTCGACTTCCCTTTCACCTTCACCTTCGCTGTTCTCGCCTTCGTTAGCCATAGCTACCAGACCTGAAACGTCAGAAGATTTTAACCGAAGGCGAAGACGGTGTACAGTGATGTTTTTCACTTCTTCACTTTTAACTGTAGTTGTTATTGAAACACTTTTTTTTGGAATTTATCATTCCAACTTACTTTCGACCATTTCTTCTTCAATTTCCATAAGACTGACCAGTCTCGTGCGATTGCTGGCATTACTGGTGCCCTGGCTTTCTTCATTGTTTCTGTTTGCCTTCTGCCCTCTTCTTCCACTTCCTGTGCTGGTTGTCGACGGAGGTGCAAGCGGTTCAATAGAAAATAATTCTTCTGAGCCCTAAAATAAATAATAAAAATAATTTGTAATATGAACAACCTATCAATTAATTACATTATTATTATTACTGCATAATTACATTTATAACTTCGACCGTTGATGTGGACAGCATAAAAGGTGGCGTGGGACGAGAAACGCCGAGGCGAACTGGGGCGATCAAGCTGTCGGCCGTTTCACACAATTCTTCAACTGATATTTTTAATAAAGAATGGAAAACTCGTTTACATTTTACTAGAGGTGCAGTAACTGCACTCATTCTAAAAAAAAGTAATTTATTTTTTTTGACATCCAATATGTAATAAATCAAAAATTATCTGAAGACTTACGATCGCCTTTTGTTCGCATTTGGTGCCATTTCAGCACTGAATATAACAAATATTCTCGCAACAGATCTGACAAATCTTCTGGCAACTAGAGTCGCTTCTTCAATTCTTCCTGGGACGCACGAATTTTGCAGTTCCCTCGATAACGTCGCAACTATTATATCGGTCATCTATAAATATAAAATAAAATTATGAAAAACATAAAAACTCAAAGTTTAAAATTAGCAGTTAAATATTTACCTCAGCCCCACATTTGACGAGAAGGCAGTGGGTGAATTTGTCTAAAAGAGCACTTCCATTTTGGGCATTGAGATAAGCCTGTTCCTCGTAAAGAGGCTGCTTCCAGTCCTTCTCTGATTTAGCCCCCGTCATAATCATTCCTTTCACAGCAGGCCAGTCGTTCAAAAGCCTTTCAAACGCCCTCCTGCTAAACCTCGGCGGTTCTAAATCATGTTCCGGCATATCCAATTCATTTGTAACTAAAACACAATACATCCAGATTATTTCATCTTCTCGAATAGTTTTATTTAATTAAAACTTACCTAATTCTGATGTTGTGGTCTTTCTAGATGCAGCGGAAGTTGACCTAGATCTTGGAGCTCTGTATTGTCTTTGCTCTACCATTTGACGTCCTACTGTCTGTACTAAAAATAGTAAAATACTCTCCCCCCTACAAATAAATTAAACAAATAATTAAATAAATGTTAATGATTTAATAAATAAATGTTTACCTTGAGTTGTGCTTGGTGACCAAATCAGTGTGTGTTATTAAGTTAGTCAGGAGATTGTACCTCGCATTTTGATTTCCTTGTACCAATGCCTTGCACTTACACTTCTCCCAACAGTCGCAGTATGCCGTCGGTGATGTCTTTTTAAGTTTGCAGTCATGACCGCGATGGCAGACGCGAGCGCATTCAGTGCAGCAGCACAAGGAACCTGTGAGTCCACAAGTCCTGCACTCAAATATATCCTAAAAACAAACATACAAATTATATAAATCGTTGAAATTTATAGTGTGAAGGACTTACTTGATTGATATGCTCAGCACCCGTCCAAGTGAAACTGCAAGTGTCGTTGCAGCAGATGATATGAAGGGGTGAGAGATCAGGGTTCGAACCTCTCGGGAACACCATCGCCTCGAGGCCATCTTTATCCGTGACTTCTGTAGCTAAATCGATACTCACTGTGAAAACAGATAATAAGAAAATAACACAAAATTAAATAAAAATGATAAATTACTTTTAGATTCGGAAGTGTTGGATTTCGAGAACCAAGCGGACAAGACACTCTTGAGCCTCTCTTCTGTAGAAGCATTAGTTGGTGGAGGTGGTGGCGGTGGTGGAGGTGGAGGTGGTGGGGGAGGCGGAGAAGGAGGTATAACATTGGGCCCGTCTGACACCAATGAAATGATTGTATCAAAAAGAACTTGTCCGGCGTGATAAGCTCTGCAAGTGACCGCTAACATGAACGGCGTCTGACCTTGGCTGTCCCTAAACACAAGAAAAAAAAAGTAATGAAAATATCAAGAAAAACTTTAAAATATTCATACTTGGCCATAAGTAAACTAGGCAGGTGAATCTGCAAAGCTGGGGATTCGCAGAGAAGCCTCAGGGCCTGAAGGGCGTTGGCTCGTCTTTCCCCTGGATCCGGGAGTTGTGGGATCGGTGGTTTAAGCGGCTGAGGGACGGTGTTTCCAGGGCCTCCGACAAGGAGGCTGTCCTCGTCACCAGACGCGTGCTCAGTGAATGGATCAGGAGGCCAACCTAACGCTGATACATTCTCATCTTGTGGACCACTGCTTTCATTCGCTTCTCCGCCTGTGATAGTAAAACAGACAAATTAACAACAAAAAAATCAAATATAATTACTTTAATACAATTTTAAACTGAAAAACTCTTAAAACTAGTATTTTAAAACTGAAATTATATGACAGAAGAAACAATTTATTAGCATTATCATAGCTGTATTTAAAAAATAAAATAAAACAGTTTTATTTACTCTATCAAAAAGTTGCATTAATGTTTTTAATTATTTGCATGTTTTTTTTAAATCTTTATTATATGCAAATATATAATTACATATATTTACAATATTTAAATATATTCATTACAATCTAGAATAAAACAGTTCAAATACCCAATTTAAGCATTAAAAAAAATAAAAATAAAATGTGAGATGTTAGTAAGGCAGCATTAATTCAGTTAAACCAAAAAGCGTTTCTCTTTGTTATTGTTTTTCAGTAATAACCCAGCAGCCTTCCCTTGTGGTAGAAAAATAATACAGTTCTTATAACAAGAACGAAGATACAAAAGGAAAAAATTGTGTATTGGATTCCGATCGGTAGCCGGATGAGGCTGAATGTAAGTGTCATTGACTTACACTTACTTGTGCTTGTCACTGAGGCAGACGACCGTCTCATCATTTCTCTAAAACTGACAGACGAACGCGTCCACGAAATGACATTACTTGTATCTGTTGCTGTTCCGCTTGTAACAGTTGCAGGTGGATCTGTCAAAACAAACTGATTAGACATTTTAAGAGGAGGAAAAAAAAGGCAGAAGAATGGAAATTTAAATTAACCGTCTGCGGTAGGACAGCTGGAGTTCAAAAACAAAACCGAGAACGATGGTAAAATAAAATCAGGAAAAAGAAATAGTTATATAAATAATACTGTTACCATTTTTTATGTAATTAATTTCTACTATATAAAAAAAGAAGGCAAAAAAGGCAAAATACAAAACGTAATTACATGAAAAATTCTAATGCAGTTGCTAATCCTATAGGAACAACTATTAATAAGTTTATCTTTTTTTCCAATGTTAAGGATATAGACCAAAAATATATATATATATATAAATTGGACCATTCTGGACCCTCTCTAACAGTCAAGTCAGTAACCCTAAATCCATAATCACGGAGTTATTCCACAACCTTTGAAATCTAAATTGCATCTTGTCTGCATTTTGTCTTTGCAAAAATTGGCTTAATTACACAACACTCCTTCATAAACCCAAAATGCAAAGAAACTTGGTATGTCCAAAAGGCTAGGGTCATCCAAAAGCACACCTAGCGATAGAACGATTGTTTCGTGTTCATTTCAAATGCTGGGAAATCAAAACCTGACTTGATTCGTTTAAATTTATTACTTGCTCGCAGATTAAATAAACATGGGTTGATTTCCACCCTGTCAGAAAGTGGAAGAATACTAATCAGTTTGTTGAATTGTTTAGAGATCAAGTTCTGATTTGCAGTACTACCTGACTTAGAATACAGAGAAAAGTGAAAAGTATGCTACATGTAATTTTGCATAAGGTTCAGCTTTTTAAGATAGGTTGGCAAATAAGTCCTTTCAGTTTTTAGACTGCTACGTTTACGTCATTATACCTGCCTCTTTTATAACTGTGCAAAGATGTTACAGTTGAAAGGCAACATTTCGCATGAGCTTTCATTCAAGGTTCTTTTCAACAATTAGTAGTTCATAATGGAAGGAAACAGCATGACAAGCATATTTTGATTTTTTTACTTAAACTTAAGCGTTAGCTGTAGAAGTTCAAAAAAAAGATTAAGCAGCTTACATAGGGTACTTTACCAGATTTGCCAAAATTCGTTCTGGAGATTTCAATGTCAATGTTGCGCCAGCCAATGTTGGTTGTCCAATTCAGTTTGATTTGAGTTTGTGAAAGAATAATCGACAAAATCTAATGTTTTGTGTCGCATACTTTGACTTAAACCAATTTGGCTGCTAAATATCAATTTGTGATTAGTTGCCACGTCACCAAGAAAACGTCCCATTTTTAAATAGCTTATTTATTGAGATGAAAAGTGGATCCTATGCCATAAAATGGTGCGTAAGAATCATGGGGACACAGGACAAACAAACAACCACAAGCAACCTCAAAAACAGGACTGCTCACAAAGAAAAATATGGTTTTTGTGAGGTGAAATTTTAAAAATAACATAAAGGAGAGTCGGTGGCCACAACAGTTTAGGCGTTGACAAGGCACTCATCACTGCAAAGTAAAGGTCCCAGGCTTGAATCCAGAAGCCCTGCATTCGAACCAGACACATGCGAACCTTTTTTTTTTTTTTTTTTAAATATCAATACTAATAACACAGAAATGACCAATCACAGATTTTTCCTTAAAATGACTGGTTTGGCCATAGACCAGGTTATATATTGGAATGGTTTTGCCAGGCTTGAGCTTGGAACGTATTGTCTGATCCGCTTATCCGAGAAAAGGCCTTATTAGTTGCAAATATTTAGGGAAAACGGCCATTAAACCATCTTCAAGTTGGCTCGACAAATTTAGAACATGACGTGATATTTCTTTTAAGACCATTAGTGGAGAAAGAGACATGGTGGTTACACTGGTTGGAAAAACTTAAAGCAATATTGTGCCAATTTTTACATTTTTAATTGCAATGAGAGCGCCTTACTTTTGTAGAACACTCTGGATAAAACTGTGCATTTAAAAAATTAGCAATGTCAAGAAGGAAAAGTTACAAAGGAGAAACTAAATATGCTCGGTAAATATGAAAACCCTCTGGTTATACTTTTCAATTTTTTTTTTTTAAATTTTAACAAAAGCAGACACCTTCATTGAACAGAAAATATTTCATTTCACAAGTGTCCGTTATAAGCAAGTTACACTGTATTCAATAAAACATGTTTAATTGCACTCATAAAAATCAAATGAATTTATTTGCCAATCCTACAGCATACATTTCATAAAACTCTAAAAAATAATATACTTTCTGATTGGTGTGTGTCCACTACTATTGGATGAAAAAAAGGACAATATGTACAAACAAAACTGCAACGTCAGAGTAGGTGACTGTATCAGGCTGTTGCCACCAGACCATAATAATCAGTTTAATTCTAAGTTCCTTGGAATGATAACAAAAGTAGGGAAAAAGGGTAAAAAATAACAGTAAGGTGTTGACACGGCGCTCATACTGTAAGGTAATGGTCCCGGATTCAAAATGAATGGCCTGGAATTCAACCTGACACACTTTACAAAGACTAGTACACCAGGTGTTCATATACACCTCTGCTGTTGCAAACCCCCATTTAAACAAGAAAAAATTAGCAATCATTTAGTTCTAACACACATCTGATTAAAGACTGTCTGAGTATATTTGCCAAACTATATTGTAGACATATTAAACTCTAGCATGATCAAAATATTCAGGCAATTTTATTGAGCCAATATGGTCTATTCCGTGCAGACAATAGGTAAAGGGGTTTATCTGCTGCTTGTCGGAGCACCAGACGAAAAATATCTTTTGGATGAGACATCTGACACGCTGCCTGGTGGAATGCCACTAAATCTGATCACAAATGTGTGTTTACAACTAAAAATGCTGCAGAGCATCTTGTTGGGGGTTCTTCTCAGAGTTCTTCTCTTTGATACCTTATGCACCATTGCACAATATTGGCCCTACCAGGTATGAGACATTTCTGAGAGAATCTGACACAACAGGATTCAACGAGTTCAATGCCTAATAATCCAAATGACTTATTTTTAAAATTAATGTTAACTTTTAGAATTCAGGGTATGCATCCTTTCATAAAAATAAATTGTCAAACAAAATCCTATGATTTTGAATTTCTTCATACGTCATTATCAAAATCGGGGTATATTCACATAGTGTAATGTAACTGTAGTAATGTCTTTTTTAGTGACCGGTGGTTCAATAATTTGTTGAAACGGTCAGGAATGAGGTATTTTAGAAAAACACCTTTTTCCTGACATTTTGACCAATAATCGGGTCATCTTCAGGACTTGGGTGAATTACAAAACACTTTGATTGGATAAAATGCAATACAGATGTAAATATAAATGAACCAACTATTTCATATTTATATAAAGTGATGATATATTTTTCTTGAGAAATTGTTGTGAAACGTAAATTTGTATTCTGCTGTTTTTATATGATTGTGACAGGGTAGGGACAAATCTGGAAAATTTTCTTTGATCATCGGCGTTTTTATTTGACTCAAACAAAGTCGAAAATGGGGATTTTCTGGATTGGATTTGTCATTCAGGGTTTATTCCATATCCCCATCGGAAAGGAAGTTAATTATTATAGACTATAGCAAAGGAAAGGGAAATAAAAAAATAAAGTTTAATAATTTATTTGCATTATGATGTTGGTATACCTACGACTGAGTTTGCATGTGTTTATTCTGCTATTAATGCTGTATATGTCTTGGTTAATGAAAAACTATTTATAGAAAATTGCGTTTGTATTTTTTTCTTTTTTTTAAGTGTTTAGTATTTGTGAAAATATACAATAGCACCACACTTTAGGCGTGTATGAAATACTTGGTTCAAAATTTATATTCATATATGTACTGTATTTTTTCTAATAAACATGTTTTGTAATCACTTAAGCCCTAAAGTCAAAATGCACTTAATCTGAATAAAGGTCGAAACGACATCAGCAAAAAAATGAAAAAGGTTTTTTTTTTTTTTAAATTAATATACTTCATTTTTGACTGCTCCTCAAGATTTCAACAAATTATTTAATTGTAGTTTTTGTTAAGATAACAGAGTTGCTTAATATTTGTGATTATTTATATGTACTCGTTGTTAAGTAATTATTTTTTTTTAAAAAGCAATAAATGTGCAAACCCCCTCCCCTGAAACATTCTAAACATGCATGTTTTCGTTTTTTATCTCTATTTTTACATCAAATATATCATGCTTTATGCCAAAATGCATGCTTTTATATTTAAAATAACACCTTAAATAAACCAATATTGATTAATAATTAAGCAGGGTTTTGTCTTTTTTTAATTTATGAGTGTCACCTGTCTCTGAGTCTTTATTAGTTGTCGGCGTACACATAGAAACGCACGCATGGAATATGTTTCTATTTCCGTCGCATCTTTCAGCAAGGATTGCCTGAAGGGTTTCATCCCCTCCTATAAAATAAAAATAAAATGTTAACACATTTTAAATGTTTAAAAAAAAAATTTTATTAAAAAAAAAAAGTTCGTACTCGAGTCGTGTTCCAGGCTCAGCAGGATGTGTTTAACAGTGTCGATGTCGCATCTCAAAATTGAAGGCATTAGAGCTTGATGTTGCATTGCCAGTACGATAACCGCTGCTTGGGTCTTAAACAAGGAGGCAGACGACGCACGGAGCGGTAGGGCATGAGGTGCTGCAGCGATACATTTCAATGGTGGCAGATCCAGCCACTGGCTATCTCTAATCGAGTCGACTGAATCTTTCGCAAGGGGGCAGAGTGTCGAATTGCCGTCCCTCAAGAGAAGGACAGCGTCTGACATTTCTCCCGTCGACGTCAGGCTGATGTTATTGGGTTCCAAACCCAAGAAAGAATCCATGTCCGTCGGGAAAGGGCATTCCTGTTCAATACGGCCGGTAGTCAGATTAAACAGGATGTAGCAAATCCTGGTAGTATTTTTAACAATTGTGTGCAGACCTAACAGAAAAAAAAAAAATTAGAGCATTATTTTTTATTTAAAAAGGATGAACATTGAAAAATAAAGATTTACACACCTAACCCATCGACTGCGACTGCTAAAATCTGACCAACATTTTCCCCAATGTTGATCCTTTTTGGTGTTTTTTGTATAAAATCAGGAGCCCTGGATGTTGTATTGGGTTTTACGATCTAACAAAAACAAAAAATAAATTAATTAAATATAATATAAATCAAACAGACAAAAACAAATTTACCTGTAAATCATCCTTTCTAAGAAGTCTACAGTCTTGTAGGAGATCATCAGTCGGAAGATTTTCTTTGGTGTCTTTTCCCTGTTCTTTGTTTCCAGATTGAAACTTCACTGCTGCATAGAACCCATCAACTTTTAAAACTTGCCCGATAGGAAGACCCTTGACATCGTCGACAAACACAACATCCCTCAGTAGCCACATGATCTCGTCCTTTTTCTCCTCTTCTTTCACTGTGACTCTTTTGGCACGCTCTGAAACAGAAGGGTCAATTTTTCTTCTTCAAAGTATACATCATTATTTAAGTAAGAATATTTACTGAGAGTCGCTGATCCCGTATCGCTGCAGGTCGAAGATGCAGGGCTAGGAGGTGGAGGCATGTCAATTCTGTCTGCTGTCTCTTTCTGGCTGGACGATTTCGGTTGAGTTGAAGTGTTAGTCTTCAAACACTTATTGGTGTTCGGAGTCGATTCCGACCTACATTTTCCCTCTCCCACCAAATTGTTGGAATTTGGTGAAATCAATTTGAAACGACAGACATCTGTCAAATTCCAAGCAGAATTTTGCAGTTGTCCAACCTTTGGCACTCCTCCAGAAACGATGAAACCTTGAAATTTACAAATTAAATTGGTTAAACTTTATCGGTCTGAGCAGTTAAAGTTGAAAAATGTACCTATAGCACCCGGCTGGTACATGGGACTGCTCTTCATGCAAACCTGAGTACCAGCAGTGATTTCTGCTGTAGTGGACGATGGTCTCACTTTTGTCGACTTTGCCCTATGTTTCTCCCATTGTTTTTTCCTTTGAGAAAAAGGCAATACACCCCTTAAAAACAAAACAAAAAAAAAACATTAAAAACACCAACAAAACAACTTCATATAAACAAATAATCTAACTTCATATAAATTCTATCACTCACCACCAATATAAAGCTCCACTTTCAAGTTTGGCGAGTGTGTACAAAGTACAAGTGTACAATGCTGAGATACGATCGATTGTAAATTCAGTAAATGTCGTGGCTGGATGCTCCAATTTAGCTGCCGCAAAGGATAACTGCTCGTCCATCCAAGTCGCAACCTTTCCCGACTCGGTTGCCACAGTACACCTGATGGAGCAGGCAGAAATATGTGAAATTCTTTCATTCGTTAAACCGAGAACTGCGGTTTTCGGATGAAAAATTCCAGCCTATAAAATATAAATAAATTTTAAATTATGTTTGCGAATAGTTATTTTTAAAAGCCAAGCAAGCTTACATCTGTGTGTTTATAAGGTTCCGTTTCACACCATTTCCATTGGTGAAGTTGACCAGTCGTGGAAACAGCTATGAGCTCACTATGTAGAGCCGCAATGTTTGAAAACCGAACGGCAGGAGCGCCTTCTTTTTCAGGCCAGAATTCGACATCGTCGGACATCCACAAGGGGTTGCCACCGCCGATGTCTTTTTTCTTGTTTTCACCTTCTTTGTCCCAGTTGTCCCTTAAAGCAGTTTCAAGCCACCTCCTCGGGCCGAAATATTGTCTGTCTCTCCACCTTGAAAACTGGTCTCTCTCACTTCCATCTCTCCTTTCTCGATCCCTTTCGCTGCTCCTTTCACCTCCGCTTGTGCTCTCATTATTGCTCCTGTCACGGTCGCTGTTGCTGCCGCCTCCTCTTCTTAAATTGCCAGCAGCGCTCCTTCTGAAATATAAAAACTCGGGTGTTAAGGCATGGGGGGTTTTGACAGGCTCTTCAAAAACTTCAAATTTACATTCGCACGGATGAATACCCAAACATATCTTCTGAGAACATCGCGTCTGCATCTATTATGACTGAATGGTCTGGGTGGAATCCTCCATCCAGCAATGATATAAGATCCTCTGGAACATACGAGTCTGTCCCATCTTCAACTTCTTCTCCTTCCTCATCATCCCTTGAAAGAAGGTTGTTGACAGCTAAGTTGACATCTAAATTGGTTCTCTAAAAAAAAAGGCAACGAAACATATTAAAAAAAAAACCTTGCAACTTATATCAATTTAATAAACAAGTTATTTACCTGTAATTCTCTGATAATAAGATTTCTACTTTTTCCTTGTAAAACCACTTGGGCTTGGGAGATCAACTCGTCTGGAACGAACGGAGCTGTTATTACCGATCGGCCATTTCCAGAGCTGTTCACGCCCATGATTACTCCACCACTTGTTGGTGCGCCACGGCCCCTTATAATTATTAGAATAAAAAACTTATTAATCTGAAGCAAATAGATTTATTGTGAATTTTAATTATTCCCTCTAGGTACCTTATGTTGGATGCTGATGAACGCACGACTCGCCCACGTGTTCTTGTAGCCTGGCGGCTACCTCCTCCACCCCCTCCTCCTTTAGAGCTAATTTACAAAGAAAAATTAATTAAATCCCACAATCAATATAAAAAAAATTCAAGTCTTATAACACTTACTTTTTATTGTCATTTCTAGAGAGATCTAGTCTATCAGATATAATTGAAAAAGCCACCCTACAAACTTTGCCATCTTCCAAAAGGAGAGCAAAGTGATTGGGGCCAATAGCTATCGTCTTCACTCCAGATTTTAAAACAGCAAGAGCTTGCGGAGGCGCTACAGGTCCGAATCTGTTCAAACGATCTGCTACTTCTTTCAGCCTGAAAATAAAACAAATTATAAATAACTTTAACGTCTGTCTACTAGTTGAGATAGCCAAACAAAAATTATTAAAATCCTAAATGTATAGGGTAAAAAACAGCTTTATTTTATGATGCCTAGCCACAAAATAAAACTACAGTAAGTGTAGAAATATATTTAATATTGAAAACTGTGAATTAAAAAATCTGAACTGCCTTTTTCACACAGTTCATCTAGCGTTTTTATCCGAGTTCCCATTGTTCTGCTTTATTAGAAGTTTATCTAAAATAACTTTAACAACGAAAATAAAGTTCATAATGGATTTTTTTTAAATTCGAGCATTTTAACCTAACTTTGGCATTGTAAGTTCTAAAAAAATATCACCGATAATATAAATAAATAACTTAATTTTTCAGCAAGACGTGACGACGAGTGTAAGAAGAGAGTATTATAGAAGTACAAACTATATGGATTAACTCCTAGATAAGACTTAAGTTGTCTCATTTAACCATATCAAACATTTGACAAATTATCGGGTTGTCCGGAAAATAATGCAGGATTTTAAGTTTTCATTAAAAAAAATCTATATAAAATATTCTGTTTACGTTTACAGGATTACTCATTTGTATGAATGTCAANTTATTTTGATTAAAGAACATTGCTTTAAAGTAACTAGTTTCTTTTTTTTTGTTTAATACCAAAATCCTGCATTATTTTCCGGACAACCCAATAATAAGACTAAATGGTAATAAACCAGAAATTAATTAAAATAATTCCTATCATACAGGAAGGCTTAATGTCCAACTATCCACTGGGTGCCGTGTACAAAGGATCAAACCACATTACAATATGCTTTTCATTTCATTATCAATTAAAAAGCCATTGTCTCTGCCAGGACTCAAACCCAGAACCAACATGGCAAATATGAGTCGAGCACCACCTTAACCACTTGGCCAAAATTATGTAATTATTGAAAAGTTATTTTCAGATGTAAACCTCATGGTTGATTGGTCATCAGGCTATAGACCAAAAGGTAATCAATCACTGGATATTAAGAATTTGATTGAGATTTAAAGCCTCACATGTAGATATTATAAAATCTATAGTAACATTTAGAAACTATTATGTCAGTTTTCATAATCTGTTACAAGTACTAATGTAACAGGAAGAACTGAAATCCAGTCATATCTAAATAAACTGAATTACTCGAGTTTGACCTAATGCATTTGAAATGATAAACTTGAACTGATAAACCTGTTGGACATCTTTATTGAAAATTATCCAACCTTACCAAAAAATAATACTCACAGAACTATCACTGGATTTGTAAGAAAAATTTATTTTGCTAACACATTTACTAAAACGTTTTTTATACATTTTTATAACATAAAACTAATTACGAAGTTCGAATAATAATCTGATCAATATTGGGAACAAAAACCTTTTTATCACGATATATCAGACATACATAAATAGAAATTAAAAGCAATTAAAAAACTTCAATTTTAACATTTCAACAAACGATATGGAACAGTTTATAATTTTATCCAACTACAGTGCACTTTATCATGGCCATTTGGTTCAAAGAAATGCGAAAATGATTCAATATTTAAACTTGAAAGAATGTCTACGTAGGATGTAAATACTTTCTGAAAAGTACACAATGTTATCTGTTCGTTGTGATTCAGTCATCATAATAAAAAAATGGGCTGCCAAAATAAATAACGTATGAGTAACTGTACATAGTAATTAGCCATTATTTGTTAAAACAATTAAGGAAAAGAAATAGAACTGTGAAATGGAAAGATCAATGGATCCATCAAGCTAGTGGAAACAGTCAAAATTATTTACGCCTGTTCACATAAGCTTCAAAAATCTGGTACAACTTTTCCTTTACCACATCTCAGTTAATTGAATTAATAAATTAAAGAATTGCAGTTTTGGTAAAGAAAATGAAAAGTAATGACCATCATAAAACAATAGAACTGATATTCTAAATGAAAATTAAATTATGGCTGAACAGGAGGAGGACTAAATCAGCCAAAATGTTATTAATGTCCAACAGGTTGCCAAATGAACAGTAATTGGTCACAATACCCTCTTGGAAAGCCAATGTCAGATTAATAAAATTGGTTCACAAGTTCAAATTAAAGGTGCATTTACATGTAAGAGGAACTCACAGCTGGAGCTCTCGAGAGTTTCTGTCAGAGCCCTTTGCAGCAACTCTCGCGGGTCCACTTCAGACCATTTACAAACATGGATGGGACAGTGCTGATAGTGATTTTTAAACAAATCTTCGACATGAAAAAGAGAAGGAGCAGCAGCATTATTAGTTTTGTGTTTATCGAGAGAAAGAAAAAAACTTCACAAACAAAAAAGTGGGTCAGTCATGTACCACACTTTAGCACAGAAATTAGAACTTGAAGACACCTATTTAGGCTTTTTTTTGCAGATTTTCAAGTGTTGAAGTTGAATTGCTGGTAAAATTAGTGGGGGCCCATAATTTAAAAAAAAGACACTGCTGTGAGCATCTTATAGTTGCCTTAGATTAATTTCAGAGGCCGACAGTCTGTCACAAATTTCTCAATCACAAGGCTTTTTAACTCTATTTTTAAAATCTGGGTTCTGGTTGTCCCAAAAGGATTGGATTCAATTTGTATGCTTGCTTCAATGAGCTTGCAAACATCCTCAGGGGTCCATTGGAATTTTTTTTTTTTTAACGGTTGAGAGTACTTTCCGAGAGCCTGGGGACAATGTTTACACTAGTGATGAAGATACAACAGAGAGCTCTCCCTCTACTTCTCAGAGGATTTTACATTTGTGAGTTTTACTCTCAAGAATATATCTGCCACTCTCGAGAGTAAAAAACGCACCTTAAGGTTGAAGTTTTCCACCTATGAAAAACAACATGTGTGTTAATCAAATTTTCATCTATATTAATCATTGGGAATTATGAATTCCATCTCACATGGTTTTTTAAACTAAAAAGAACATCCTTTAAAATGATTTATTCGTAAGGATTTCACTATTGACCTGTAAAAGCCTGTAACACTTTAAAATATGTTTATATGTACGCTGTAATATGTATAGAGAGTGGTTGACACTGACAGTTCAATATTGGGACTGAACTGGAAAAAGGCTCAAGTACTGTGCCATTCGATGATTACAAAGCAAATCATACCAAGACAGAAAGCCATTTTGAGAAGAAAAAAAAATATAAATTGATCATTAAGTTTTTAGATTTCTTTCAGCAGGTGGCCAAATAGAAGTTTCATGTTATACAACTACATTTTCCTTACAATAGGGGAAGTGTAGTGCGCATGGTAATCAAATGTAAATTTTATACAAACTATTGGGAACAAGAACAAACAAAATGGAGAAAGGCGAAGCAGTATGAAAAATCTCTTGAACACGTTGCATGTTGGCAAGTAAAATTAAATAAAATGTTAATGCTTTTCAGCTATGGAATTACATAATACAGTTTAAAGACTAGGATTCTGTTTTAAACTGAATGAAGGATTACGACCGAACTGCTAAATGCGTGATCCTATCTTAATTGGACCCACAGCGACATTTTGAAAAACCATAATATCAGACCAGCTTGTGACAAAAAAAAATGTTTGAAGCTTTTCAATTATAGAATTGTGTTTTCATGATGCATCCCAATTGATACAAAAAATTGGAACAAATAAAATAAATTGAAGGAGACAATGACAATCCGGCATGAAAATATGTTTTACTTGTTATGTGGATGAGCTATGAGCAAAAATGAGTACTAAACTTCATGAATCAAACATCCTCTTAAATCTCCATTAATAAATCTTTAAGAATTTAGAAGGCAGAAAAAGGTTATGGTAATAACCTAATCAATGGTACTGTACTTAATAAATTAACACTTTTGTTATGGCAATGATTTGTAATACGACTCCCAAAGTACAGGATTTTTAACAGGCCAATAGTGTACAGTTCTGGAAAGCTTGTGGCTTAAGGGTTTAGCTGGCCGAAAAAGTTTACAGCTGTAACCTAAACCATGGTAATTAGCTAATAATTCCAAAAATACCTACAAGTAACAAAAAAAAGTACTTTCATAACAATTATTATGACTGTTAAATGACTATTATTTAAAGAATCCCGCTCGTGACACTGACTTTTTTATCTCAACTTAAAACTTTAATTAATTGGTCAAGCGGACAACAAAAAATAGTGAATTATTTAAAGAATGTCCAACAGGTTTAAAAGTAAACAGACCCAAAATAAATAAGACTGATCCATACGTTTTTCAACTATATATCAGCAAATGTCAAAATACAAATTTGAAACTATAAAAGTAAATTTTCATTACATGTGAGAAGGGATCGAATTATAAATCTCAAAACTAAATTGGAGGTCGATGACCATCCAGTACGAAATGTGTAGGGTATGTTTTAATAAAATGCAGTTGACTTATGAGCAACATAGAACCAGAAGTTAGAAGATAGCTTATTCTAGTATGATTTGTCATAAATGGTTGCCCTAGGGGATTTATTATACATTTGAAAATGGAAAAAAAACACCAGTGCTAAATTTAAAATATAAGAAAGATATATTCAAAAACGATAATAGATTCTGATCAGCAGGTGGAAAATAAATGTTTGATATTTTGCAGCTATGAAAGTAACATTTTCATTAGACTTAGAACTTATTGTGCACAGGATACTCAAATGTTAATTCAATACAAACTTGAGAATAAATAAAACTGTAAAACAGAGAAAGGTGTTGGCAATCTGGTATGAGTGTTTCCATTGTTGTATGAATAAGTTAGTCCATTGAGCAATTAAAATAAAACAAAACAAAAAATAAAGCAACAAAAGATTTTATTGTCAGATGTCTATTGTTATCTTTGTTATCCTATCATATCTCAGTTAATTGAACTATTTATCTACTAAATTAAGAGTTCAGCAGGCAGGAAAAGGTTACAGATACAACTTAAACCATAGTATTCGGCTATTAAATCATAAACTCTTACAGGTAACAAAAAATG